CACATAGAAATAGCAATGATCCCAGTCAACATCCTAATAATGCAGACAGATACAGTAGGAAGAAGGAGACGACAGTGCTCAAGTTACCAAGAGTCTGGTGTGTGGTGGTCAGAGGGGCCGATGGCACAGACTGGTTGCCTCGCCTCTGTCAGTGTGCCCCAGGGCAGTTGTGGCCACAGTAGTAATTGTGTATGGCGTGAATGAATGATGACGTCATGAAGCGGCCTAAAAAGCACCATATTAAACCAACACATTATCATTATATACAGTATATATATTTTTTTTCAACATATATTTTCTACTTACAATATTATTTCATATTCTAAAACATGGCCAGTCTCATTATAATGGTAAATGGAAAACAGTGTTAAACAAGCCTTATAGCAAAAACTGACACATTTACGGTAATGTTTGTGTATTGCCCCTTGAATGAATGAATGAATTAGTAAATAATGAAACAATAATGCACACTATTTATAAGACGTATAGTAGTCTGTGGTTTTATACATTCTCTGCATATTTGCTCGTGAATACTGTACGACCGTGCATGTGAAAATAGACCTACTGTAAGTCGTGAAAGGCGTGTGTGAAACGGTCTCGAACCCATTATTTTATTTCCTCATATCAACTAAGCTTGTGAGAGCATATTTCTGTGCCATAAACACACGGGCAAAGGTTACATAACGTTTAACAAGCTGTTTTTCTTTATCTCCACAAACTTAGAGAAAAGACAATACTTGACAAGGACAGACTTTACTTCCTCCAGATTTAGTCCTATAGTCCGAGGTGACGTGAAGTAATTAATTACTTGTTGACATGCTTTTATTCTTTACTTTTTAACCCAGGACTCTCCCTAATTTTACTTGGCTTAGATATTATAGAGAGTACAGTGGACAGTACTGGGCGGCACGGTGGCTGAGCGGGTAGCACTCTCGCTTCTCAGCAAGAAGGTCCTGGGTAGAGTTTGCATGTGCTCCCCCTGTCTGCCAAGGTTTCCTCCGGGTACTCCGGTTTCCCCTGCCATTAAAAACATGTACAGTACAATAGGTCTGGCATGTGCCTCCTGTACTGGCCCCGCTCCCATATCTGTGTGGAGTGAGAGACAAATGCCCACAATTGTATGCCGCTTTGTGACTCTGGTCTGTGAAAGGCCCTATATAAATAAAGATCACTTACTTACTTACTTGTCTGTCTGTTTGTTATTTACTTTTGTTTTGTCTGAGTGTTTGTTTTAAATTGGACCTAGAGTCTGGAATAAAGTTGAATTGAATTACTTACTTACTTACAGTGTGGATCCAGGACATTTATGGACATAGGTCGTCCCACTCCCTATGGACCAATGGCTCCTATGTGTTTGTGATTATTGCATCATTGATCTAGTAAAGAGGAACAGACAGTTTTGTAGAGTCCTCAAAGACGCCTGCAGTTCTGATTCAGGACTATACACTGTAAAGAACTTCCTTGTAGAAAAACGGTAAATAGCTGGCAAATATGGTTCCAGGAATTTACCGTTGCTAATGTTAACGGTAAAGACTGTTTCACTGAATCACATTATGTCTTTGTGATTTCAGGATTTAACTGTATGTTTCTGTTAATTCACATACAACAAAAACAGTATTATAATGTTCATTTTGTATTATTACACCATTTGACTGCTTCTGTTTCTAAATAGTTTCATTGAACAAAAAACTACACAGTTTAATTTGTTTTACTTTAATGAATACAACTTTCAATTATTTTTTAACATCTTCAGTTCATACAAGAACATTGTTGAATTCTTTACTTCTATAACATGCTTAATGCAAAAGAATCATTCTAACTAAAGCAGGAGTTTACATGTGTAAGAGGTACCTTTACACTCATGGTTGCTCGCTAGCAAAAAATTTAGCAAAAAAACAAGTTTATGTTAAATTACGGTAATAATACCATAAAATCACAATGTGATTATTAATCACATTGTGATTTTATGGTATTGTAACATTTTTTTGTAATCACATTATAATTGTGGTAATAAAACACCACTGGATGTTTTTTAACCCATTTATACTTAAATTTGCATGTTTGAATTGTTCATAAAAATAACATTTGTTTAATGTTGAAATTTCATTGTAATTTTACAGAAATTTGTTACAATGTACACAAATACATTGAGTTTAATGCAAATGCCAGAACCGTAAAGCTGCAGGGAGCGTGTGTCCAATGTCATACGTATGCGAGATACAGGTTAGCCATGATTCTAACTTAGGGACCGGTTTTGCTTATAGCCAGTTTTAAACATTTATACGTATTGTGTATGATTGCCTAAAGTCTGAAATGTATCAATTTATCTTTGGTTGGAGTTTCAGCCAGTATTTGGTCAAGAACAGAAATCATAGTATAAATATATATATTTAAGATGAATTACATACACATTTTGGTCAAAAAAACAATTTTGTTTTTCCTTTTGAATAGTTTAGTTCTGTTCTGTTTTTGTGTACGAGTTCTGTAGTACAAAAAAAGAAGCCAATTGAACTAATATTTGAGAAACGTACCATTTATGAAGTCAATTTTGGAAAAGTCTGATATAATTTAGTGCCATATTAATAAAGATTCCCTCCTTTCTTGAGAAAATGCTTTCAAATGTACTTCCAATAAAAAAAAAAGTTGGAAATTGCAACGAGAGGAAGAACATTTTTACATTTTTTTCTCAAAACTCAGATATCTGTTTTTGCAAATGAGTCTTGTTTTGTTTGTTTTTCCGTTGTGGCTGTAAGAACCTGGTGCAGTTATCCCGTCCAAAACCATGACAACCTATTTATTTTACAGTAAAATATTCTCATTAATTACAGCGTTGATTCAAAAACACTGATGTTGTAGTGCGATTATTTTGGAATGTTGTTTTTATAGAAGCTGCGGGCGCTTTCCTGGGGATTATCTTGTCCCGATCTGTTGCAACTCACAGAGAAAGTGGAATCAACCAAACGTGCAGGAGCGATTTATCAAAAAGAGAAAAGAGAAGAAGGAAGTAAAATCTAAAGAACAGGGAATTTTTTTTTATCGTCAAAAGTAGTGCCTTGGTTGTTTCTCCCCTGACTTTATTGAACCGCCATAACACTTATCTCTAAAAAAAAAAACACTTTTTTTTTTTTGATAAAAGTTCAAGAGAAAAATAGTATTTTTTTTTTTTTTTTTTAGTGTTTAGAAAAATGCGCAGTCATTTAAAGCTGGGTACCATACTTTAAAATCCCAAAACAAATCAGAAAAATGTTTAGTTTCAGTTTTAATATGTACAGTAAGTTGTGGTCTCTGTCATAACTGTAGATCAGCTTTTTCAGACAGAAAAGTGAAAAACAGAGGACCACCCTGACTCAGCCAATCAGCTCTCAGCTCAGTGACTCCCAGAGCTCTTTCGTAAAAGTGTGAAAATTATAGCACGTTTTGTTTTGAGATAAGGACGGCAAGTTTTGGTCTGATTTGTTCACAACATTATACTTCTACTACTTTCTGTTGGGACAAACAACATGCATTATTTATTTATGAAAAAAGTTAGGGACCCTAGCTTTAATGTCACTGTAAATATAAGTATTGATAAACAGGCAGAACATGCAGAATACATAAAGAAATATTTGTCTGGTTTTACTGAACCAAATGTTGCAAAAACAAAAATGTTGTTTCTTTTCTTTGGGATTGTCTTCAAATTGTGCAATACATTTCCCCAACTCCCTCTGTGCTTTTAATCACATCCACCCACGCATCACTCGGCAGATGTTGGTTAGACAGGCGTGGATGATACCATTATTAACTAATAAGTAGCAGGTTGGAGTTTATATTTCTAAACTTCTTCCCACACCTTTTCGAGCTGGATATTTGTTAATTTAACAAAACATACTGTATAATTGTGTGTTATCATGTATTGTTTCTTTTTATATTCGGTTGTTGCTTTGTTTTTGTTCTTGTTTGGAAAAAAGTATTCATTCATTCATTCTAAAAAGCTAACAATAGTAATAATAATAAGCAACAGCACTTCAGGTCACAGCTGCAGATTTATGGACATTTACGATTTATGGACATTTATCAACTTTTCTGGACATTGGTCATTTGGCTCTTGTGAACCAACGGCTCTGTGTGTGTGTTTTTTTATCATTCCATACAGTATCTTGTGTTGGCAAATCGACAGCTTTGTAAAGTCCTCCCAGATAACTACTGTTGTGATTTAGGGCTATACAAGAATCAAGACAATTTAATTGAATTGATTAAATAAGAATAAAAGATCCTTCATTTGTCCCACAGTGGGGAAATGTTAGTGTTGCATCACTGGTTACAGTTAGATACATGTAAATAAACAATCACTCTATACTAAATTGAAATAAAATAAAATCTCCAACTTTAGCATAATGAAGATGCAAGAATGAAGTTAAATGTCTGAGTTGGTAGGAGGTAGAGTAGTAGTAGAAATAGATAGAGTAGTCTCCATCTTTAGACTTTATACCTATTTCTCATTATGCTAAAGTCAAAGTGAATCCATGTGTTTGCTAATTTTGGATTTCCTGTGTTGTTTCTCTGATCTGTTGTTGAGGAATCGACAACGTTGTAAAGTCTTTCGAGACACTTGGGCCGATACAAAAATAGATTGAATTGAGTTCCATCCATCCATTTTCTACCCTTTAATCCATTTCTGGGTCAGGGGGGTGGCAATCAGAGATGCCACCCAAGTCTCATAGCACCAGCCCCTCACTGACCCTCTGCAGGTGGTGAGTCCACAGGAGGACGGCTGCTCTCTGAGTGTGAGCATAGCCTTAATCTTTCAGTGGGGGCTTTTGGGCAAAGTGGGGTTAAGTGTCTTGCCCAAGGACACAACGACAGCAGTCATCAGTGGGAGTCGATGGAGAAGGTGCAAAGGTGGGAATTGAACCCACGACCTTCTGGCCTTAAGGCCAATGCTCTCAATTAATGCCCTGAATTGAGCTGAAACTATATATTTTGACAAAATCTATAATTGCTGATATGTTTTTCTCGTTTAGGCAGTTATGTTGTGGGGGCTCTTGAGGCACCGGTTTTCTGTCGCCCCCTAGAGGACGTCTGTGTGAACGAAGGTGCGGACTTCACCCTGAGCGGGACGGTCAGAGGGAGCCAGCCCATACGAGTGTCCTGGATCCACAATGGTGAGGGGAAAATTACGTTTAAAACCCAGAATGAACTCATCTAGATTCTACCTGCTGCCCTCGAGCTGGAGATACAGGTCTGATACATTCTACCCGTCAGGCTGTCAGACTCCTCAACGAACACTGCTCCTTTCTTTATCTCCCAGGACCCCCATCCACCTCCACTCTCTCACACACTTGACCAAACTGTGATCTGTATTAGCATTGATGCAGCTAACAATTCAATACAATTTATTCTTGTGTAGCCCTAAATCACAGCAGTTATCTTGGAGGACTTTACTAAACTGTCAATTCGCCAACACAGATCAGAGAATCAAACCGTTCAAACTCAGGAAATGCAATGATGAAAACACAAAGAGCCATTGATCCATAAGGGACAGGGACCAATGTTGATACATGTCCGTCAATGTTTTTGGATGTCGAGTCTCCTGGATCATAACCACAGCAAGGACATTTTTTTAAAAACCAAGTGAGAGAAAAGTGGGAAACCTCGGTGATGGCCACATTGCGGGAGGGATCTGGTCCCACAGACGGACAGCTGTAGGACTACAGCTTTGTCACCACTAATAAGCCTCTTCACGCCCCCCAGGAGAACATGTCTGCTGAAGCAAAGTAAAAAAAAAAATCTAGTTATGAATTAGCTTCTGTTCTCCATGTGTCAGAGAAATACAAAAATACAGTATGTATGTTTGTTTGAGTTTGGTTACAGATGTCATAAGGAGGAGCAGGTAAACACTGAGGATTTGTGTCTTAGTCCAAGAGGCCCCTGAGGGAAACTGTGACTGGACTCCAGACAATGAATGCAAATATATAGTTAGGTGATATTGTCTATAGAAGTAATAATAATTGGTCTAGACAAGGATTTAGATCCGGGTTTGAGCCGCATGTGGGTGACGCTGGATTATGGGTCCAAAATGAGAAGTTAAAGCAGAGAGGCCTTGTTTATGACGTTTGGATCTGTTTATTTGTTTTTGAGACAGTAGTGAAAGTGAAAGCTAGATGACCTACATTTAAAGTACTAATATGTACGATTTATAGCTAATATCTAAAGTAAGATGAAATGGTCCTAATCTGTCGAAAGGCATTAATGAATCATGTTCTTTTCAAATACTTCTTCAACTGATAATGTAGTTCAGAGATATTTGGATGTCAAAATTAGTTTTACAGCCCCTAAATCTTGTTATTGTTTTTATTTCCATGTCCCGCCCTCCAACATTTTGAATGATCAGAAAGTCTGTTATTCGGGTTACCAGAACTCACCTCGTCGCTTCCTGAAGCTCCTAACACCTGGCTCCTGCCCTGGCTCCTGCCCTGGCTCCTGCCCTGGCTCCTGCCCTGGCTCCTGCCCTGGCTCCTGCTTTGCCTACAGCACATTCATACCATGCTTCTAGCCACCACCAGTGCTTGACCCCGGAGGATCTGAGATAATCTGGAGCAGCAAATGATCTCCCCTCTGCAAGTGGCACTGCCGGGGTCAATACGCCAAACAAATAAAACTTTTTAATGCAATAAGTGTCTCTCCAGATTGAATCTAACTTGAGACAGGGACAGATTTTTACATCCTGCTCATTTAAAACCAGAATGAATCAAACAATGAAAAACATTTAACATTTTCCAAATATAAGACTTCTTTCTCATGTAGCGATACAAGTATAGTACAGTAAGCATAGTGTAATAAGATCTCTCTTTCTAATAAGATGAAGACATAGAAATTGTGGTCTGATTTGTTCAAATTTAGTCCAATCAGGCGGCTGCGAGGATCTCAAAATGCTGTGTTGTTGTTTATGAGGAGTGTGTTGTGTTCAGGGACAGCCGCTCGGTTCGGTCGGTCGTCGGTGGAGGGGGCAGAGGTGCGGTTCACGGTGCAGGAGTGTTTGCCAGAGGACGCTGGAGCTTACACCTGTCTGGCTGAGAACAGTTCAGGGAAGACCTCGTCCTGCACCGCGGTCTACGTCAGAGGTACCAGGACGGTCCACGCTAATGACACCATCCACACACATTAGGGCTGCACATAGTATTCAAAAGAAACTAAATGGGAATTTTCAGAAACAGACTTTTTTGTGCCACTGTAAGTAACAGGAAGTTATAAACTTAGAATTTGCTTTGGCTCACCGAGCCAAAACAATTTACATTCAACACAGCAGATTAATGATACGTGGCCAGTTATATGAGTAGCATGCACTTTGTGGTGGCAATTATACAATTGTACAAAGTTTGGTCCCCCAAGGTCTTACTAAGATTTTTTGATTTGAGCAGAAAGAGACCAGAAGGAGAGACCAGAGAGAGAGACCAGAGAGATTTAAGTTATTTTCAAACAAAAATAAAATAAATAAAAACACAAAAACCACGTGAATTTGTGGAAATGTCTCTTTGTTTTAGATGTATATATAATATATATATATTTTTTTTACAATTTGTCAGTATATATGGACTTGTTGTTGGCAGAAGCAAGTTTTTTCTCACTACAAAATTAAATATTTAATATGTCCATCCATCCATCCATTTTCTTCCCCTTAATCCAATTCTGGGTCGGGGGGGTGGCAGTCAGAGCTGTACCCAGTCCACAGAGCACCAGCCCCTCACTGATCCTCCTGCAGGTGGTGAGTCCACAGGAGCTGAGATCTCTCAGTGGGGGCTTCAGGCAAAGTGGGGTTAAGTGTCTTGCCCAAGGACACAACGACAGCAGTCATCAGTGGGAGTCGTGAAGTAGGTCTCACGGTGGGCTTGAACCCACGACCTTCATGCCCAAAGGCCAATGCTCTACCAACTGAGCTACTGTCGCCCTATTTAATATGTATGTATAGATAATAAGTGTTTTGCTGTGAATATTTTCTCTTTACTAAAAAAATCTAAAAACCTTTAGATCTGAACACTCGGAAATTGGGTATGAGGTAATCGCTTCATATGTATGCTTTTTAAATCTCAAATCCAACTTAACAAACAGGTGATAAAAAATAACAATCTCAAATGATATGACATAAACCTGCAGCCCTCACCACACACACACACACACACACTCATGATTTCTCTTTCTTTCTCTTATTTTTTCACCAAACACAGACTTTGAAACCATCTGCAGCTCGAAAAAACAGCCCTCATACTCTTTCACTTCTCCGACCAAGTGCATGCTGGGAAATGGAGTCTCCCCGTCCTCTTCCATAGACTCGCTGCCGTGCTTTTCACCGACCGGATCAGAAACACCGAGTCCAGTGACGTCTCCCAGAGGTAAAACTAAAGCTAATCTGTCACACACAAGCTTCAGATGATGAATTCTCAACACAAAAAAATAAATAAAAATAAATAAATAAAACAGTCCACCAACATATTGATGATGTGTATGGTTTTGCATCTCTACATTGCGCTAACTAATACTAATAATAATAATATTGCATCAGTTTTATGTAGTGTTTTTTGGACACTCACAGACGCTTCAGAGCATCTTTCATTCACTCCAGCCACGGTGGAGATAAATTGTAGCCACAGCTGCCCTGGGGCACATTGACAGAAGCGAGGCAACCAGTATGTGCCACCAACCACCCACACACACACCAGACTTCTTCTCAGCAACATGGGTGAAGTGTCTTGCCCAAGCACACGACCACATTTTGGCACTTTTTACAGCCGTAGCCGCGCTCACTGTGGCACCTGATGTTCCCAGAGGTCTCCCATCACACAACTAACCAGGCCCTGCCCTGCTTGGCTCCAATCAATCAATCAATCAATGTTTATTTCTATAGCACAGTTCATACAGAATGCAACCCAAAGTGCTTCACATCGGCAACATTTAAAAGCAATTTAAAAACAATTTAAAAACAGACTGTAAAAACAAATACAAAAGACAGTTTAAGAAAATGAATAAATATATACATCAAAATTAAATTTATGATATGATTTCTTGATGATCAGTCGTAGGCACGGCTGAAAAGAACCATCTTCAGCCTGGACTTGAACATAGCTAAAGAAGGAGCCTGTCTCACACCTTCGGGAAGACTGTTCCAGATTCTAGGTGCATAGGTCTGGAACGCTGCCTCCCCATGTCTAGTCCCGACTCTGGGCATCAACAGGAGGCCAGTCCCCGTTCAGTTTTGTTTGAATTTAACTGAAGAAAGTTATTTTGCATCCATGAGTCAATCTGTTTGATGCCGTGACAGAGTGACTCAATTGGCCCAAGTTCACCCGCAGCCAGTGAGACATAAATCTGCGTATCATCAGCTCCAGAGGTCAAACAAGATCTGGCTTTCACATGCAGTTGACACCATGGTATCTGATAAATGTTTTGTCAAAATAGATGCAAAATAGCAAACTTGTGTAATGTCTCGTTGTGTAGTATCTCCATGGGTGGCCTGTAGAAAGACAATATAACACTCATTCAAACACCATTTTTTTTTTTTTTTTTTTTTTTGGGGCATTTCCTGTGTCTGTCCCGTCACTTAAACATACAGTTCATTGTTGTTCTTCCTGTAAATATTGTTGAACACATGGGAAACGCATCATTTCTGGTGTGTGTCTGATTGGCTCACACCACACTCCACGCACACTGTAGACCAGGCTCCATTTGGATTCCAGTCCCAAGCGATGGACTGAAGAGGACTGAGCCGGGTCTACGCTGGGATTCAGGGACCATCTCAAACTCAAACAGGCTGCAGTGAAGGAGGTGTGTTTCCTTTCTGGACCAAGGACCAACACAGGAGGATTCTAGAACAAACAAAAGAGGACGAAACCAGGTCGATACCAGCGACAAAATAAACGTAACCAGGATTTAAATAACACTAAACTGTACAAGGCGAACGTGCAACAGGAAGTTTGGCTCAACTGAAATCAGGAACCAGCCACAGACCTGGGGTTAATAGGAAGACTGTAGGTCTGCTGTAGGTCAGAAGCAGGATTGAACCAAGTCTAAACCAGGTCTTAACCAGGTCTAAACAGGGCCTAAAACAGGTCGAAAGCAGGTTTGAAGTAGGTCAGAAGCAGGTCAAAACTAGGATTGAACAAAGTCCAAATCAGGTAAAAACCAGGTCTAAACCAAGTCTAAACCAAGTCTAAACTGAGTCTAAACCAAGTCTAAACCGAGTCTAAACCGAGTCTAAACCGAATCTAAACCGAGTCTAAACCAGGCCTGAAGCAGGTCTAAACCAGTTCTAAACTAGGTCTAAACCATGTCTTAACTGGGTCTAAACCAGTTCTTAAACAGTCTTAACCAGTCTTAACCAGGTCTAAACCAGGTCCAAACCAGGTCTAAAGCAGGTCTAAAGCAGGTCTAGATCAGGACTTCCATGTAGGGCATGTGTGATATCCTGACAGTACTGAGCCACACCTCTTTAAACTCTGCCTTTGATCTCTTTACAGAAGTCGTCCCAAAGAAGCGAGCCAACTCCGGCACAGGTACGAACACCTCTTTTAAACCTACATGTTTATGTTTATTTGTTTTTATAATATTTAAACAGCTCAGAAACATACAAGACAAGGAAACTGAAGACATTCAAGAAAACCCACAACATAACAGAAGCAATAGTTGAACTTTACTACCATATCAAAACTAAAATATAAATATACTATAATTGTGTGTTCAACATTTTACAACGTATCTATTTAAACAATTGTTTTATTTTGGTTTTTACAAGATTTTATTCAAACAATATGATATAATGAAATGCAACAAAAAATGAAATAAGCGGAAGCAGTGCTTAGTTGAGGCTCTCTCTGCTCTCTCTTTCTGGTCTCTGTTTTAGTCTCTCAATGGTCTCTCGCTCTTGTCTCTCTGGTTTCTCTCTGCTCTCTTTTTCTGGTCAGTCTCTCTGTTTTCTCTCTAGTCTGTCCTTGTTTTCTCACTGTCCTTCTTGGCTCTCTCTTTCTGGTCTCTCTCTGGTCTCTCTTCCTGGTTTCTCTCTGGTCTCTCTCTCTGGTCTCTCTCTGGTTTCTCTCTGGTTTCTCTCTGCTCTCTCTCTGCTCTCTCTCTGCTCTCTGTCTGGTCTCTCTCTGGTCTCTCTCTGATCTCTCTCTGCTCTCTTTCTGGTTTCTCTCTGGGCTCTCTCTTTCTGGTCACTCGCTCTGTTTTCTCTCTCGTCTCTCCTTGTTTTCTCACTGGTCTCTCTCTGCTCTCTCTTTCTGGTTTCTCCCTGGTCTCTCTTCATGGTTTCTCCCTGGTCTCTCTTCCTGCTCTCCTTCGGGTCTCTCCTTCTGCTCTCTCTCTCTTATAAATGTTCTAATGAAAATGTCATTCATATGAAATTCAACAAATGCTAAATATATAATAGTTATGATTGCACTCGACAGATAGAGTCAAGAACACGAGAGAACACTGTTTCATGTTTAGTCTTTGAAATCTGCAAATGAGACCGTGTTGTGTTGTTCTTTGTTGTCGGAGGTTCAGATCTTTGATACAAAGAATCAGGTCAGTGTCACTGTCGTCACAGAGCAGGCTGCGGATAGAGTTACACTTGGGATTTTAACACATAATAATACAAGAAAAACCGTTCATACATTAAAATAATCTACCCAATCAAAATCTCAACGTGCTTTACAAAAGAAGCATTAAAAGGCATTAAAATCAAAAGTAATCACAGAACATGAAAAAAAGTAAAGAAGCTGAACATAACTGTTTTTAAGCCTGTCCCACATTTTCAGGAAGACTGATTTTAGCTGCATACATTTGAACCGCTGCCTCTCCATGTTTGGTCCTGACTCTGGGACTAGCAGGAGGCCAGTCCCTGTTCTCCTCAGAGTCTCAGCAGAGGGCCAGTCCCTGTGCTCCTCAGAGTCTCAGCAGGAGGCCAGTCCCTGTGCTCCTCAGAGTCTCAGCAGGAGGCCAGTCCCTGTGCTCCTCAGAGTCTCAGCAGAGGGCCAGTCCCTGTGCTCCTCAGAGTCTCAGCAGGAGGCCAGTCCCTGTGCTCCTCAGAGTCCCAGCAGGAGGCCAGTCCCTGTGCTCCTCAAGAGTCCCAGCAGAAGGCCAGTCCCTGTGCTCCCTGGGTTGTCAAACTTGTCACTTGTAACAGTTTTTTTCAAAGTCTTTTCTCTGAGCCACAGGAGCCAGTGCAGAGACCTGGGGACTGGACTAATGTGATCATACTTCCAGGTTCTAGTCGGCACTTGTTGTTCCCCCATCTCTTGTCCCTTTCAGTTTTTACACATACATTGATTGAATTATAATATGTTTGGGTCCTTCCTTGTAATGAGTTGTTACTAGAGGGACAAAGTAGAAAACAATCTGATTTGCACAAGATTTGGCCTCAGTCCTTTCCACCTGCAGCCCCTGAGCAGGTGAATACACACATGCATACACACACACACCCACGCACACACACACACACACACACACACACACACCGACTTGGAACACACAAAACTAAGCTGCCTCTCGACCAAATGAGAAGTTTATCAGACTCAAACAGACAAATGCAGCTTCCTCTTTACAGATATGGAACACTCTGATAACTCCCATCAACGAGTTATCGAAGCCAGAATGACAGGCCAGTGTTTAAATGACATACACAGATAAAGGTGGGGTACCTAACTTTCAAGCCAATACCAAGGAACTATGTCATAACATCTATAATCCTTGTATATGTATTCATTGCTTTCTGATAGAAATAGTAATAGTATTAATAATAATTTGGGTGAGTAACCTTTCTTTGTTTAGTAATAATAACAGTAGTAATAGTAATGTGTTATGTAAATGTAAGCAAATAAAGAAAATTATGATACTATTTTAAATGACTGTTTAAAGTCAGTTTGGTGTTATTTCAAACCCTTTCGCTTGTTTGCCTCTTTTCAATAGTTGTTACATAATTACACACAATTAACTTTTACAGTGTAAAGAGGGTAGTGCTGGTTATACTGTGCATAGACACAACATGTTTCATTGACAAATATTATTTTAAGACCAGTCAAAACACACAAAACATCACAATAAATGTTACTCACTTCTCCAGTGTACATTTCCCCACAGTGGGATAAAATAAAAGAATCTCTTCATCTTAACTTTTCACAGTTCAAAAGCTTGTAGCGTTTTGTTTTCCCAGACCACAGACTCGTGACTCGCCTCTTTCCCCATCCCAGATTACAAACGTCTAAAGGATATTTGCCGATCGTGTTTCTGTGCAGTTGGTGACATAAGGACTGGTATTTCTGGAGATCGAGTTTCTTTGTCATTTCACTTTTGTTTTCACCTGAGACAGTTTGTGTTTAAAATGACAACAAGAGACAAGACAAGAGAGGAGAGGAGAGAGCAGTAAGGCTGTGTGCACACTGGACAGATCTGAGGTAAATCTATCTATTTTGTATTATTCAAGGCAATAAGGGCGACACTATTGGGAAGTAAGAGACATGTGTGAGAAGCTCTGATCGTATAGATAGATAGATAGATGCTTTATTGATCCCCCAATGGAGAAATTCAGGTGTCCAGAAGCAGCAAAAATGAAAATAAAATTGATCATTTTAAAAACATAATAATAATAATAATCAGCAACAGCCCTTTAGATCACAGCAGCAGAGGTGGAGTAGCTTCTGGGTGGAGCAGGACGGGTCACAGCAGCAGAGGTGGAGTAGCCTCTGGGTGGAGCAGGACGGGTCACAACAGCAGAGGTGGAGTAGCCTTTGGGTGGAGCAGGACGGGTCACAGCAGCAGAGGTGGAGTAGCCTTTGGGTGGAGCAGGACGGGTCGCAGCAGAGGTGGAGTAGTCTCTGGGTGGAGCAGGACAGGTCACAGCAGCAGAGGTGGAGTAGCCTCTGGGTGGAGCAGGACAGGTCACAGCAGCAGAGGTGGAGTAGCCTCTGGGTGGAGCAGGACGGGTCACAACAGCAGAGGTGGAGTAGCCTTTGGGTGGAGCAGGACGGGTCACAGCAGCAGAGGTGGAGTAGCCTCTGGGTGGAGCAGGACGGGTCACAACAGCAGAGGTGGAGTAGCCTCTGGGTGGAGCAGGACGGGTCACAGCAGCAGAGGTGGAGTAGCCTTTGGGTGGAGCAGGACGGGTCGCAGCAGAGGTGGAGTAGTCTCTGGGTGGAGCAGGACAGGTCACAACAGCACAGATGGAGTAGCCTCTGGGCGGAGCAGGACAGGTCACAGCAGCACAGATGGAGTAGCCTCTGGGTGGAGCAGGACAGGTCACAGCAGCACAGATGGAGTAGCCTCTGGGCGGAGCAGGACAGGTCACAGCAGCACAGATGGAGTAGCCTCTGGGCGGAGCAGGACAGGTCACAGCAGCACAGATGGAGTAGCCTCTGGGCGGAGCAGGACAGGTCACAGCAGCACAGATGGAGTAGCCTCTGGGCGGAGCAGGACAGGTCACAGCAGCACAGATGGAGTAGCCTCTGGGCGGAGCAGGACAGGTCACAGCAGCACAGATGGAGTAGCCTCTGGGTGGAGCAGGACAGGTCACAGCAGCACAGATGGAGTAGCCTCTGGGCGGAGCAGGACAGGTCACAGCAGCACAGATGGAGTAGCCTTTGGGTGGAGCAGGACAGGTCACAGCAGCAGAGGTGGAGTAGCCTCTGGGTGGAGCAGGACAGGTCACAGCAGCACAGATGGAGTAGCCTTTGGGTGGAGCAGGACAGGTAAAATAAGGCAGGACAGGTATATTGCATCATCTCCCTTCCCCAAAAATACTGTATATACACATTTTTAGATACAACAGGTTCAGCTTGTTGTGTTTTGTTCTATTCCAGCCCCTGTTTTAAGAGTATCTGCGTCTAAAAGCAAGTGTCCCAGTGGGATTAACAGCTTAATAAATGTTTTATTATATGACTCTCGTCTGTGTCTTTACCAATGCTTTTGAGATATTTGTGAAGTATGTTCATGTCCGACTTGGTTTTGTGTGATACGCTCTGCGGACAGATTGTCATGGTAACGGTCCGAGGAAAGATATCAAATGTGATACGCGCTGTTCGGACCAATTGTCATGGTAACAGTCCGAGATGGGAAAATATCAGACCGGTAATCAGCCAATCAGAGCGCGCGTACGGTCCAAGTCCTAAGATATGATTACAGTAGTAGTAGTAGTAAGCTTTATTTATATACCGCCTTTTCACTGCACATCGGAGTCTCAAAGCGGTTTACAATTGCTATTTTTGGGAGTGGGGGTGCCAGTACAGGAGGCACATGTCAGACCTATTGTACATATTTTTAGTGGTAGGGGAAACCGGAGCACCCGGAGGAAACCTACGCAGACACGGGGAGAACATGCAAACTCCACTCAGAAAGGACCTTCTTGCTGAGAGGCGAGAGTGCTATCCACTCAGCCACCGTGCCACCCAATTACAGCCAACATTTATTGCAAGAAAAAAGACAAAACACAAAAAGTACAGAAGGAAATAACAGAAAACACATAACTCTAACCCTAAAATTGCATAGATACACTCAAACACCCATGCGCACCATGTGTAAAGCCCCCTCTAACTACAATACCCAACAGAAAAGGTATTGGTTCCTGCTTTTCTAGTTCAGTCCCTTTTCAATGTACGTGTTTCTGCGTCTCTCCATGGCCTCGCTCCAAAGATGATCCGAGACAGATTTGTGCCACATGAACTAACTTTGACTCTGAGGAGCACAGGGACTGGCCTCCTGCTGGGACTCTGAGGAGCACAGGGACTGGCCTCCTGCTGGGACTCTGAGGAGCACAGGGACTGGCCTCCTGCTGGGACTCTGAGGAGCACAGGGACTGGCCTCCTGCTGGGACTCTGAGGAGCACAGGGACTGGCCTTCTGCTGGGACTCTGAGGAGCACAGGGACTGGCCTTCTGCTGGTGCCCAGAGTCAGGACTAAACCTTTAAGATTTATGCAGCTAAAAATAATCTCTGACAATGTTCAAATCCAGGTTAAAAACAGTTCTATTCAGCTGTGCATCAAACTGAAGGACTGCGTCTTCACTCTTTTTAATGTAGTGTGACTATTAAGGATTTTTTTGTGTTTCCATCTTGTTTGCCTCTCGCTCTCACACACACACACACACACACTGAGCTCTGTCTGTGTTTGCTCTGCAGTGGTGCTTCTGCGATTGGAGAACCCTCCGCAGCCTGTGGAGGTGAAGGCGGGGGAGCAGGCCCGGCTCACCTGCAGGTTCGTGGGCAGCCCTCCCATCGTATCCTGCTGGATCAGAAACAAAGAACAGGTGGGAACGACGCTACACTGCCACCATATGTGTTTGTGTGATTAAGAATATAGGTTTCTTTCCATTATATACACTGCAAAAGGTGATGAAAAAGAGGTCAAAAATGTCTACATTTCTGGTAAAAATTTATGTTTTAGCACTGACCGCCTTAAAAACAGATTTGCTAATGGGACAATCAGCAAATGGATCTTGTTTTAAAAAGATACAAAGAATGTCTCCCTTGGAATGAGAAAATAAAGCAACAGTTCTTGAATTAAGACTAAATTGCTTCGTCTCATTAGCAAATCTTGTTTTAAGACGCTAATGTGCTCAAAATATGATAACAACAGACAAAAACAGTTGATTAAGGCAGAACGACCACAGAACTATGTACTCACTTTTTGCATTGTCTATGTTGCTCTTCTGGCCCCTAGAAAAGCCATGTTCCAGCTTCTTCCCTCTGGCAGAAAATATTGTTCACTGAGATGCAGTACATTTCAATGTACTGCATCCTGAGGCAGAGATCTGTATCTTTGCAGTTTCTTTTTTTCAAGAAATCAAACACATCACTCTCACCATGCGCAAAAAGTCACAAAAACATCTTCTAACGCTCTTGGAACCTGTTTCAGCACCTGGTGCCTTTTTATTTATCATCCCATGTTTTGAGTGCGTAATACAAGATGAGATGAGTGATATCCCGTCTGCACAACACTGACTTTTTAAACCCTTTTCAGGCCGGCGTTGCATATTTGCAACAACTTAATTTCTTATTACCTAACTCCACATCCATGTTTTGGATCCTTTTTTTCTCAGTACCACTGCTGGACTTAGTTGAGCTTTAACATGCCAATTAGTAGATTATATCTCGGCTCTATTTACCACAGCGGGCCAATGTTGCAAATCTCCAACAGCCCAGAAAAACAAAAGTCAGGATTGAATATTGATATTGATTGAATGACATTTCCTGTCATTCGAATTTAAAAATGTGCAGGAAGATTCTCAAAATTTTTAGGAAAGAACCGTGTACGCCACTTTTTGAACAAAACTCTCTGGTCTGAGTTGACGAGCACGTATCACAGGAATGATTGATGGGAGGACAAATAGTCTTGATGATCCACTCGGAAGTAGAAAATCCTTCTGTATACCTGAGAGGGTTAAATTTGTCTTTTCAAATTAATTCTTATACTGTATGTATTTACAACTTGTGTTCTAAACTTGAAACTCGTGAAATGTATTTGACACCACTTAAACCACAGGTGTCCAAACAGTGGCCCGGGGGACATCTTAGGCCCTCAGATCTGATGGCCCTCGTGTGTCCTGCTGATCTGTTGTGCCTTTCCTTTGCCTCATGTCGCTGTGTTGTTGTCAGATTTTTGCCTCATGTCGCTGTGTTGTTGTCAGATTTTTGCCTCATGCTGCTGTGTTGTTGTCAGATCGTGGAGGACTCGCAGCATCGGTTGGAGAACTCTGACAGCAGCAGTAGTTTGGTGATCGCAGAGGCTCAGACGCAGCACAGCGGCAGATACACAATCGTAGTGAGAGACCGACACAGCTCTGCTCAGCAAACACTCACTCTCTCCGTCATTGGTGAGGCCCCAGAACGACCACAGAACTAATACCTCACTAATAGCTACTGCTAATTTTGTATATATTGTGTGATCCCTGTGTGCTCTTACTACTGTACTGTATGTGCGCTGCAACAACAAAATTTACCCACTGTGGGACGAAGGAACCATGAGCTTCATAATTTATCACATAGTTTCCAATTAGAAGCCTTACCACTCCAAAAATGATTAAATATATCATAATAAATGCTTGAATCAAGTGTTTTTAATATTATTTGAGTACATATTGACCGTCTTAAAACAATAGTTGCCAATGGGACAAGGAGTTTAGTCTTCTTTCAAGTGCTGTTGCAAATAATTACTAATTCCAAGGAAGACATTTCGTGATTTTTGTTGTTATCTTTTTTTGCTTGTTCCATTTGCAAGTCTCGGCAATATGTATTCAAATTAATGACCTTATATTGTATAATTTTTTTTGCAGTGCATTTATTTTATTTTATTTATTTATTTATTCAATATGGACATAACAATGACATTGGACGAACCAGAAGCATTGCTTTAATTAAATAAATAAATAAAAAGATAAATACATAAATATACTTAGCGTAAATTTTCCGTCTCCTTCAGAAAGACCTGAGCCGCCGGCCTCTGGTCCCGTGGTCTCTGTGGTCTCTGGCTGCTCCCTGGTCCTGTCCTGGTCTGGACCCTGTTACGACGGAGGCAGCGTGGTCCTGGGATACGTGGTCGAGGTATGTCATACATTTTTATTTAGATATGGATTTCTTACTTATTTTTATGATAGAGACAAATACAACACAGTGCTTTTCTAATGCTGCAGATTTGTGTCCTTTTTCCATTCAAACAATATAAACATGTTTTTTATTTATTTATTTATTTAATTTTATTTATTGCTTATCTGCTTGGGCGGCACGGTGGCTGAGTGGGTAGCACTCTCGCCTCTCAGCAAGAAGACCCTGGGTTTTAGGGATGTATATCTCCACCACTGAGGCCGATTCGATGCACATCTTGATACACTACCAGCGATTCGATACATTAACGATACAATGAAGTCCCTGTCGATACGATGCAATATGATTCGTTCCTATTCACGATACGATGCGATTCAAAGATGATTTAATAACGATATGACTGATTTGCAACGGGATTCGGTTTGACATGATGTGATCCTGTTCGATACAGTTAGTATGAGAGTTTATTAGCCCACATCAGGTTTCTTACCTCAAATTCTGCTTTACTCTATCAATATGAGGGATGTATTTCATATTTGGTTATGGTTATTAGAATTTGTGAAGCGTCTTTGAGTTCTTGAAAAGCACTATATAAAACCGATGTATTATTATTATTATTATTATTATGGAGGAAACCAAGAAATCCTATTTGAAAAAAACATTATTCAGTATGTACAGAGTATTTATTTATTTGAATCCTTCATTTTCTAAAACGCTGTAGGGCTGGATATCTTTGGAGATAAAGTAGACTAACTAACTGCTATAGCAGTAAATTTATCCTGTGTGAGATTAATAAATAATCTAATCATAGCATCAGTTAAGGCCTGGGAGCGGGCAGAGTTAGCTGCTTGAGGCGTGTTTTGACCAAAGAAGTTTGTGATAGACCTACTGCTCGCGTCGCCAACTTTGCTGCTGCGGCTTCGGTATAATCCAAAGGAGAGGAGGGGGTAGTGGCCGCGGAGGTATCCACGCCGTGCCGTCTTCTCAGATGCGTTGCCAGGTTCCCACGTATTTGATAGGCGGCACCCGGCATTTCCGCACGCTTGACTTGTTTTATTGGGGCCATTCAAAATCTCCTTGCCGTTTATGTTGTGAGCGTTCATGCTTGTTTTGGACCCGAAGCTTACGTCAGAGCCCGAGGAAGCGATGGTGCATTCCGGTTGCCTCGGAAATATGACAGGCCAGGGAATAGAATCGATTTAACCATGGAATCTACCGATGCAGACAGGCTGGAAGAGATGCACTGCCAATTCACACCTAAGTTATATCCGATGCGCCATGAATGTATCCGTGTAGTTGCATCGCAGACGTTTGTATCGGACCACTGATGCGAATCGGTGAATCTTCACATCCCTACTGGGTTTGAATCCAGGTCACAATGGGGTCTTTCTGAGTGGAGTTTGCATGTTCTCCCCGTGCTTGCGTAGGTTTCCTCTGGGAACTCCGGTTTCCCCTACCACTAAAACATGCTCACTAGGTTAAATCCTCCAGCTCCAGTAATCCTGACCAAGCCGAGCATCAACATCTGGAGATGGGTCCCCGGGCGCTGGTACTACAGCGACCACTGCTCCAGTCCTGACATAAGCCTCAGCTCAGGATGGGTCAAATGCAGAGGAAGAATTTCCCTACGGGGAACAATAAAGTGCACCTTTACCTTTACATGTTAATGAACACATCACTCCGGTTGTAGCTTTGGGCTAATTTGCACCTGTTGTCCCACATTTGCACTCACAAACACACACTCATTCACCCTGAACTGTTGTATATGTTTTTAGTGGTAGGGGAAACCGGAGTACCCGGAGGAAACCTATGCAGACACGGGGAGAACATGCAAACTCCACGCAGATTCTCTCTATTATAGTTGTATCTCATTACAGCACCTGTCTTTGCTTTTTCACTTAATAGCTTGAAAGTTTCTCCTGAAAATATCACCTCAGTTTTCTTTGTTTGATTATTGGCTCTTCTTCTTCTTCCTCATGACTTAGGGTTGCATAACATGACATAATAATATTATTATCACAATTATAAATGTTGGATTATGCTGATCAATCTGTATATCTATGCTGTACATCCAAGACCCAGGCTGTATATTCAGTCCGTTAACTAGATTCTATTCTATTGTAAACAATATCTGTTTGTTTTGTTTTGCAAATTGGATGCTAGAAACAAAAATGTGTGACTTTTTGAATGTGTGTTGTCGCCCTCTGCAGGTGAAGGAGGGTAACAGCGCTCACTGGACTGAACTCAGCCACAACTGCACCAGCACGTCCTACCGGGTGAGCTCCGGGATCCAGCCCCAGAAGCAGTACACTTTTCGGGTAAAGGCTTTCAACGCAGCGGGAGTCAGTGAACCAGGGCCGGAGTCCACGCCGCTCAACATGGACCAGAAAGGTGCAGTGTTCAATTAAATACATGCACTTGATTAAAGCTGGGGTACGTAACTCTCAAACCACAACAAATTGAATTGTTGAACTCAACAGTTTGGGTCTACCACTAGTTTTCACATGTGTGTGTTTATGGCCTCAGTCACATCTTTAGATCAGCTTTTATTAAACAGAAAGTACAACAAGAGAGGACCACCCTCACTCAGCCAATCAGCTCTCAGATCAAAGCATCAAATAGTCGCTCACAGGTTCCTTTCTTACATGAGTTCTTACAAAAGTTACTATGTTTTCTAATTAGATAAAGATAGATTTAGTTCACATGTTTACTTTTTAGTTTGTTTGTTTATTTTGAGCAAAAAAAGTGTAGAATATCCAAATTATCAAAATTGTGCATAAAAAACCCTGAGTAACATTTACGTGAAACGAAATTATGAATATTATATTCACAAAAGAAACACTTGCAGATAGTCGAAAAGGAGTGGGAAGAAGAAGACTTTTTCCAAACCTTTTTCCGTTTGCACATACAAACTTGACTATTCGTAAAATAAATAAAAAAGTTATGTAACTCCAATCATGCAAATACTACTACGTTTGATTTTACAAACAATATATTAACAATGACTGAAATAAACTGAATAATAATCTGTCCATTTAGGAATATTAAAGTAATTCGAGATATGGGCATCTTAATAACACAATACAGAAAATATAAACTTAATTGTTGACTAAATTACAATAAATAACTTTCTCTGTTTTCAGAATCCATTAAACCTCAGTCAGAAGCAGCCCCTGCAGCTTACAGTGCGATCACCATCGACTCCACGCACAAAGTGACCGATCACTACATCCTGCAGGAGAAGCTGGGAGTGTGAGTCTGTTCTGTCTATTGTTTGTTCTTAAAATGCAGTTCAAACAAAACCTGCATTTCAATCTGGAGAGACTCAGAAGACAAAATGCAGTTTGAATGTTTTTATTGATAGGTAGTTTGGCGTCCTAGGCCCCCGTGCGGCAATTAGGGCCAGCAAGGCTCCTGCTTAGTGTGCGCACGATCCCCCCGAGGCCTAGGAACTGGTGGTGGCATTAGGGCAGCAGGAAAGAGCGCACGCTCGAGCAAGGAGAGAGAGGCGGAGGAGGGGAGGCGGTGGTTTGCGAGGCTTGAGAATGCCGTGAAGTGGGAGTCTCCGCTTCTAAGCTGCTTGCCTGGCCTGCATAGGTTGGCTGGGAATGGGCGTTTGCTGTGCGATAGGCCAAGGATGAGAGGCAGGCTTGGAGGGGATAGCTTTGGCAATCAGTCTACCGGATTGAACCTTCGCAGGCTCCATGTTTGTTGTAAGGATCAAAATAATAGTAATTTCACATTTACTACACATTAGTTATGTCCTGTCTGTGAGGTTAATTGACAGATTCAGATTCATTATATTAGCCATGTGCAGTATAAAAACTACATTGGAATACATTCGCAAAAAAGGTACTCTGTGTGCACCGACAGAATAAATATATGACTGCATTATATGGGTCCCCAACAGATCACATGTACAAAAACTGGAGTTGTACTTAAAATACAATGGGCCACAGAATTGTTTTACTATATTGTTACAAGTTTTAAGCAGTTTATCCAATCAGAGAGCAGAGTGAGTCTCATGTTTGGGTTCCCAGTTTGTCCAGTCTTAGCTATCACATTTTTATATATCTTTAAACCACATATATATTCAGTGCTGTGGAGCTAAATGTGTCACAGACAGGAAGATTTTGGCAACAAAAGTGTGATTGTAAATAATTGTGATCTTTTAATTTGACCACTAAGAGCATATTACGTACTGTTCCTTTAATTTCACCTGTGCCCCAGTGGCAGAATCCAAAATTATTGTCAACATAAAAAAGAAATTGGGAGATGCAATCTTTTGAAATACATTGTTACTAGGGTTGCATAACTTCAGGGAATTTTCAAACATGAACACTTTCCATGGGAATTTACGGGAATCAACTGGGATGTATGGGGATAAACAGGAATAAACTGGGATTTTTGTAACTGAAGTTTGACTCATCATAGGGAACTTGAATATTTTTGACAAACAAACAAATGCCACTTGATTGCAAATACATGTAGCCCACTACTATTGAGAGCACGCCCCCTACTGGTCCTGTGCCTTCATCACATGTACAGAAGATATAGAAAACGCCACATAATCTGAGCCCAAAACACAAGAAATCTAGTTATTCTTAGATATATTACAATTTAATTATAATACAATTCATTCCCAGTTATAGAATATTTCCAAGATTCCTTAGCCTTAGTTCCCATGTATCTTTATTAGAAACTAAGCAGACATTTACGGTTCTTTTGCAACCCTGATTGTCATGTCACGTACAATCACTGTTTGTTTTGCAGCGGTAAGTTTGGACACGTGTACAAGCTGACGCACAAGGAGAGCGGGCGAGTCTGTGCCGGTAAATTTTACAAAGGCAGAAGATCAAAGGAAAGAGAAGCGGCGAAGCACGAGATCGAGCTGATGAACTTCCTGCATCATCCCAAACTAGTGCAGTGTCTGGGGGCCTACGACCACCGCCCAGAGATGGTCATGGTCATGGAGTAGTGAGTACAAACAGACTCCATCTCATTTTAATACATTTGACCCATTGTTTTAACGTGGGGGCTTCTGTCACATGGGTAAAATAAAAATGAGCCCAAAAACGCAGAACTACAAAATAATGGGCAAGACACTTAACCTCTGGAAACAGCAGGTGCCACAGTGGGGCAGTTTCGGCTTCACCCACATTGCCTAGAATGAGTCTGGTGTGTGTGTGTGTGTGTGAATGGTTGGTGGTGGTAAGAGGGGTCGATGGTACACACTGGTTGCCTCGCTTCTGTCTGTGTGCCCCAGGGCAGCTCTGGCTACAGTAGTACTTAATCTTTACTTTATTTCATGAATAATGACATGTGAAGCGTCTTTGAGTGTCCAAAAAAGCGCTATATAAAACCTATGCATAATTATTATTTTTGTAAGTTAAAAAAAGGAAATCACAAACTATGAATTAGCTTTGCCATATGGTTCTCTCTCTCTCTCTCTGTCCTCAGTATCGCTGCAGGGGAGTTGTTTGAGAGGATCGTGGACGACAGCTTCGAGCACACAGAGACCACCAGTGTGCGCTACATGCAGCAGATCCTGGAGGGCGTGGGCTTCCTGCATCAGCAGAACATCCTCCACCTGGACCTGAAGCCCGAGAACATCGTGTGTGTGGACAAAGGCGGCACCGACATCAAGATCATCGACTTCGGGTTTGCCAGCCGCCTGGGTAAGAGCAGTAAGAGCGTTTTGAAAAAGATCATTTTTCACTTGTTCTAAGACAGTGGTGTCCAACTTTTGTTTCCCTGTGGACCCCGGGACAGAGTGAACAAGGCAAGAGTTAGGACCAATACCAATGTGTTTTCTGTTTTATTTCTTGTGTTTGAACTCTTTGATCTGTGTGAATTTTATGGTTGTGTAAGGTCTCCCGACTGTTTAGGGCGATACAAGAATGAATTTAATCGAATTAAATTTGATTTGGTTGTGGGCCTCAACTTAGGCTTTAGAGATATAGCGAGATCTGATACTTCCCTTTTTTCTGTTACCTTCTGTCTGTTTTACATCACAAATGTCACGTGGGTGAAAAACAAATGAGGAAAATAATAATGGATTTAATAAAAAGATAAAACAAATCCAAAACACAAGGAACAAAGACAGAACTAAAACAGACAAGGGATGACAATGACGGAACAGGGAGTGAAGGAACACACAGACACAGGGCTAAATACAAGACTAACGAGACACAGGTGAGACACATGAGACAGATGAGGGCGGGGCAGGTAATCAGACAACAGGAAGTACAACCAAAGAAGACACAGGGATAACACAAAATAAAACAGGAAATAAACTTAAACCATGACAACAAATCTGGAAAAAAAAACTTGAGGGGTAAAGAGAAAGACAAAGTATTAAGGGTTGGGGTCTGAGTGTTGCTCATGAAAAAGCTGAGCAAGTTGATTATTATTTGTCAGGCCCTAAATATATTATATGGTCCATTTAAAAGCATCAAAAAAGCAGACATCTTTATCAGTTTAATTGTTAGAGAAATCTTACATCAACAGCAATGTACAAATATATGTATGTAAAAAAATATTAAGGACATGAGTTTACTTAAGTGTGACCCCACCAGTATGTATCAGTATGTACCAATATGAACCAGTATGTATCAGTATGTACCAGTATATACCAGTATGTATCAGTATGTACCAGTATGTATCAGTATGTACCAGTATATACCAGTATGTACTAATGAGCAATGTTATATATAGTGTATTATTACGCCTGGTTTTTGAAATGGGATTTAATTTGTTGTTGAACCAATGAAAATATTGCAAATACGTGTGTGTGTGATTGACAGACAAGAGCGTTCCTCTCAAAGTGATGCAGGGGACGCCTGAGTTTGTGGCTCCTGAAGTCATCAACTATGAACCAGTGAGTCCAGCCACCGACATGTGGAGCATCGGAGTCATCTGCTACATTCTGTGAGTGGACCAGGACTGGACTGGGATAAGACTGGGACTGGACCAGGGCTAGACTGGAACTGGACTGGACCAAGACTGGGAGTAGACTGGAACTGCCAGTATTTTGGATGTGTAATCATAGAGAACTATAAAGAAAAGTTTGAAGTTGCTTGAAGTGTAGTGTATACAGTGAAATGCTAAATATGGATACACAAAAAAATATATACACTATTGATGCTATAATTCAGTTGTATTGTTTGTTCTATCATTTATTTTTTTATATCACTCTATGACACTGTTTTCTTGCCATCTGCTTTCCCCCACAATGCATCATGTCAAATTACAGTTTTACATAACCACTAACAATCATCATCACTAGTATAAAACTAGGCCCTGTTTATACTGAGACGCTGCGCAGACGTTTCCAGGCTATTAACAGAAACGACCTGGCTCCTAATGCAAATTTCTCAGCGTTCACATGAGGTTGAAAAAACGATGTAGTTCTAGCGCCCAGCCAGTAGTGGGCAGAGAAACTTTACAACGCGGATCGCCATTGTGCGCTCTCAGGGAAGAGCAGAGACGGTGGGCTGTGTTTCTACGTCAATACAAACTGGTGTAACGATGTGACAGTGATCTCCAAGCATTGTTCTCCTGCTCTGGAATATCTTTTCATTCATTGTAAACCATTTTACTCCCCTCGTGAAATTGTTTCATTCATTTTTGCCTCTGTTTACATACCGACATGCGCGGACGCGCGCGAGGCTCAGCGCTCTGCAAGTACTGTGTATGGAACGCTTATACCCGGACTCTCTGATTATTATCCTGGGGGATTTTAATAAGGGAAACTTGAGCCAGGAATTACCCAAATACAGACAGTTTATCAAATGCCCGACCAGAGAGAACACTCTGGATCACTGTTACACCACCGTGCGCGGAGCTTTTCACGCTGTTCCCAAGCCAGCCCTTGGCTTCTCAGATCACTCCATGATACATCTGGTTCCTGCTTACAGACAGAGACTAAAGCTCTCGAAACCTGCAGTGAGGAGCTCCAAAGTGTGGTCTGATGAAGCTGTGGAAGAGCTGCGCGCATGCATGGAATCTACAGACTGGGACCTTTTCAGAGCTGCCACAGACAGTTTGGATGAATATACGGACACTGTGACGTCATACATTCACTTCTGTGAGGATAGCATCATTCCAACAAGGACCAGGGTCATCTATAACAATGACAAACCCTGGTTCACTGCTAAACTCCGGCAGCTCAGGAAAGCAAAGGAGTCTGCTTTCAGGGAGGGGGACTGCAGCGGCTACAAAGCAGCTAAATATCAGTTCAGGAAAGAACTGAAAGCAGCCAAGTCCCGGCACAGAGAACGACTACAGGAGCAGTTTGGTAACAACGATACTGCTTCTGTCTGTCTGAGGGGCCTACAGGAGATCACCAACTACAAACCCAAAGCCCCCCCCTGTGCTGACGACCACAAGCTAGCTGACGAACTGAACTTATTTTTCAGTCGCTTTGATGCTGCCCCTGACACCTCTCCCTACCCCACCCCCCACTACTCTAACGACCCACCCATCAGCCCTGCCCCCAGCCTAACAATAGCCTCTAAAGAGATTAAACAACTCTTCTTGAGGCTGCACCCCCGCAAAGCTCCTGGCCCGGACCACGTGTCTCCGGCCACTCTGAGACACTGCGCCAGTGAGCTTACTCCTGTGTTCACGGACATTTTCAACACCTCTCTGCAGTCCTGCCATGTCCCGGCCTGCTTCAAATCCTCCATCATTGTCCCCGTCCCGAAGAAGCCCAGGATCACAGGACTCAACGACTACAGACCTGTAGCACTTACGTCTGTCGTCATGAAGTCATTTGAGCACCTTGTCCTCTCCCATCTCAAGTCCTTCACCTCCCCCCTCCTGGACCCCCTGCAGTTCGCCTACAGAGCCAACAGATCTGTAGACGACGCCATTAACCTGGCCCTCCACCACATCCTACAGCACCTGGACTCCCCGGGGACCTGTTCGTGGACTTCAGCTCTACCTTCAACACAATCCTGCCATCCCTGCTCCAGGACAAGCTCTCCCAGCTCAACGTGCCCGATTCCACCTGCAGGTGGATCACTGACTTCCTGACGGACAGGAAGCAGCGAGGGAGTCTGGGGAAGAATGTCTCGGACTCTCGGATTATAAATACAGGAGCCCCACAGGGCTGTGTTCTTTCTCCCCTGCTCTTCTCCCTGTACACCAACCACTGCACCTCCAGCCACGACTCTGTGAAGCTGATCAAGTTCGCGGACGACACCACCCTCATTGGACTCATCTCCAACAACGATGAGTCCGCCTACAGGAGGGAGGTGGACCGGCTTGTGTCCTGGTGCAGTGGTAACAACCTGGAGCTGAACGCCCAGAAGACAGTGGAGATGATTGTGGACTTCAGGAAGAGCACTGTCCCCCCGCCCCCACCCTCCGTGATGGACTCCCCCATCACCTCTGTGGAGTCCTTCCGTTTCCTGGGCACCACAATCACCCAGGACCTCAAGTGGGAGCCAACCATCAGCTCCCTCATCAAGAAGGCCCAGCAGAGGATGTACTTCCTGCGGCAGCTCAGGAAAGCCAAGCTGCCTGCACAGATGTTGGTGCAGTTCTACACGGCCATCATCGAGTCCGTCCTCACCTCCTCCATCACCTCCTCCATCACCTCCTCCATCACCGTGTGGTTCGCTGGAGCCACAGTCAGGGACAAACAGAGACTACAGCGCATTGTGCGCTCTGCAGAGGAAGTGATCGGCCGCAGCCTTCCATCGCTGCAGGACCTGTACGTCGCCCGAGCTCGAGGCCGGGCTGGTCGTATCACAGCCGACCCCTCTCACCCTGCACATGGACTATTCCAACCACTCCCCTCAGGCAGGAGGCTGCGGTCCCTCAGGACTAGAACCTCCCGCCACAAGAACACTTTCTTCCCCTCTGCTGTTGGACTCTTGAACACTTCTTAACCTGTCCCCCGCCCTTTATAAAGTCACTTTACTGCCCATCATACGTCACTTTACTTCACTGTACTGCTGTCACCTTACATTGTGTGCACCATGTGCACTTGTATATTGTAAATAGTAACTGTAACTCTATTTTAAATTTAAATTTATTCTTTAGAAGTGTTTTTTATTCTCATTTTTATTATCTCTTTTTGACTGTTGCACTGAGCCAAAGCAATTTCCAAGTCTGTGACCTCCTATTACTTACGTGGCAATAAAAATGATTCTGATTCTGATTCTGTTGTTGTTGTTGTTTGCAGTTTGAGTGGCGAGTCTCCGTTCCAGGGCAGCAGTGACGCAGAGACCCTCGCTCTGGTCACTGCTGCTCAGTACGAGTTTGACGAGGAAAGTTTTGAAGAAATCACTGAAGAGGCCAAGAACTTCATCAGCTCCCTGCTCAACAAGGCGCCTCGGTAAAGCAGACCTGAGAATGTTGAAATATTGTGGAATTAGATATAACTAGCAGTAGCACTAGCTCTAGTTGCATTAGTTTTAGACTAATATGCCTCATCATATAGTATTTTTTATGATTCAATTGTAAAGCAAGACAGTGAAAAAAATAAAATTTCCACCAGCCCTACTTGGCCCTACTTGGCTCGGCTCTACCTCGATTGGGAGCGTTTCCACTGGCTCTGTTTAACCAATTGTTATATCTATAAAATAAACATTGCTTTACATACTAGGCCAAAACCAAATAAATATAAAAGAGGACATTTAATGACACCAGTTACAAGATACATACGGACAGAACAGAAAATACAGAAAAGTACTTCTTTAGCACCTGCTTGGCTTGGTTACCAAGGAAATTCCCTGGGGATTGGTTTGTTGCTAGGATAAGGTACCAGATACTAAGTAGAGACAAGTATAGTACAGTAGAGTAAGGTTGAGAAGAGCAGAGTAGAGTCGAGCCGAGTAGAGTTGAGTAGAGTAAGGTTGAGTAGAGCTGAGTAGAGAGAGTAAGGTCGAGTTGAGTAGAGCCAAGTTGAGTTGGTGGAAACAGGGCTTTACAGTATTGCAGCGTTCATGTACATTTGGTTCATTTAGTTTAGTTTTTGTCTTTCAGACGCAGACTGTCATGTGCAGAGGCGCTGGCCCACCACTGGATGGCAGCGTTTGACTCTGAAGACACAGCCTCCTCCAGGAGTCTGTCCAAAGAGAAGATGAAGAGGTTTTTAGCCCGACAGAAATGGAAGGTACAGTAACAGTCAAGCCCCAGCCCTGCTTCTCGCGGTCTGGCGCAGTAGGTGTGCAGTGGTTCTACTTCCACAGGACCAGAGATTGTGGTACAAAAGTGTGGATTTATAGAAAACCAATGGATTTCAATAAAGAAAAAAAAACATTTTAGTTTACATTGAGATCTATGGGAAAATCTCCTTAAAGCTCATGTGGATTTAAGCTGCAGTATTGCGGGTGGCCCCTTGTCCATGTGGAGACAGGTTTAAGCTTGCAACACCCTATCCAGATAATAATAAATAATAATAATGCATCGTGCGATTTTTTTGGCACACAAAGACGCTTTACATATCATTATTCATTTACTCCATAAACTACTACTGTAGCCACAGCTGCCCTTGGGCACGCTGACAGAAGCGAGGCAACCAGTATGCGCCATCGGCCCCTCCGACCACCACCAACCATTCACACACACACCAGACTCACTCGAGGCAATGGGGGTGAAGTGTCTTACCGAAGAACACAACGGCAGTTTGGGACTTCACAGCCGCAGCCGCCCCACTGTGGCTGGTGTTCCCAGAGGTTAAGTGTCTTGCCAAGGACACAACGACAGTAGACAGTGGGAGTCGATGGTGAAGGTCGGGCTTGAACCCATGATCCTTTGGCTCAAAGGCCAATGCTCTACCAACTGAGCTACTGTCGCCCTAATAAGAATACAATTCGTATTAATAGGAAGATAAGATAAGATGTGCTTTATTTATCTCACAGAGGAGAAATTTACATGTCACATTTGGCATGGATAGAGACACTCAGATTGTGCAAAAGGAGGAAATGTGCAAACATGTCACATGCAGGATATATATGTACAATAAAGTGACAATAATTATGTACAACAAAAGTGACAAGTGTCAATTGGAAACAGTGTAAATAGTAGTGCAGGTTTTCACACAGTGATCATTTAAAGTGACTTATTGTACAGTCTGACAGCGGTGGGGATAAAGGCCCTGTGGTAGCGCTCCTTCCTACACTGAGGGTGTCTCAGTCTTCCACTGAAGGAGCTCCTCAGCTCCTCTACAGTCCTGTGCAGTGGGTGGGAGGTATTGTTCATGATGGAGGTGGCTTTGGCTAGCACCCTCCTGTCCCTCACCTCCTCCACAGAGTCCAGGGAGCAGCCCAGAGTGGAGCTGGCCCTCCTGACCAGCTTGTTCAGTCTGTTTCTGTCCCGCTCTGTGCTGCCCGGGGCCCAGCACACGGCAGCGTAGTAAATGGAATGAACAGACACATGCATCTTAAAAATGATGTAAAATTCTAACCAAATACTTTCGTAAGCTTTTATATGAATCAAAATTGATGTTTTTGTTTACCTTGATCTGCTTGTGTGGACAGAAGGCCGGTAAAGCCATGCTGGCACTGAAGAGGATGGCTCTGCTTTCAAAGAGCGACAGTTCCGCATCCACCAGCCCCGCGGACGGTGAGACGTTCAGCACATTTTAGGACATCACTTGTTCTGACCATGCAATAGCTGTTTTCCACAGATCCACTGTTTTTGTTTCCTTTATTTGATAATTTCACTGCGTATTGAAATGATTTACAAACTTGTAAACATTGATAGTAAGAGGTTAAAATGAAAGACTATGGCATGTTATACATCATTTTAAAGATAAATAAGTCTCTTGTCTCCAGAGCCTCCAATGTCCCCTGAAGCGGAGCATGCCCTGCAGACTCTGGAGAGAAAGCTCCAGGGGCCTCCTCGCTTCACTGAGTTCCTCCAGGACCAGAGCACCTCCCTGGGCTCCAGCGCTCGCCTCTCCTGCCACCTCAGCGGTAAACTCTGGTCACACCTCTGTCTGTGGTTCTGAGCTTTTCATCCCAGTGTCTGTAGAACTGCAGTTTCTTTGCCGCTTGGAGTATTGGAAAAGTATGTGCAAAAGCACCAAAAGGACATGAATAAAGTTAGCTATAAAAGGACAAGAAACAATTGTGAAACCAATGCATTTGTCTTTCATTATGTTTCCCTTTTCTCTCTCTCGCTTTTGTTTGAGGCTTTGGCGACAGTTCAGGTGTTGAGTCCCACTTGAAAGATATTATGCAAAACTAAGAAGCTTGTTTCAACTCTCCCCTGCCTGTGGTCCAAAGAAAACTACTTATTAATTACGTATCAACATGTTTTAAATATTTAGAGTAAACACCCAGAGGCACCCGGTGGTTCAATGTTTTTAACAGACACTGGGAGAACATGCAAAGTTTACACAGTCTGCTGAATGTGGGAACAAACCCAGGTCCCAGGTGAAGTTTAAGGGCTGACCGCTGCACCAAACCCTGCACCAAACCTTTCAGTGGAGGCTTTAATAAGTCTCGAATGGGCAGATATCTTGGGTGAATTGTATGGATGAAAGTCTATTTCTTTGAACGGGAAAGAAGTCCATAGTCGTTCAAGTCTATATTCTAAACAGACGGACAGAGAGATACACAGGTCTGACAGATAGACATACAGATACTTTATTGATCCCCTGTGTGAGAGATTCAGGTGTCCAGCCGCAGAGACACATCATCAATGCAAACTTACATACTCCTTGGTCTCCTTAGGTTTCCCGGACCCGGAGGTGCTGTGGCTGCGTGGGGAGGAGGCCGTGGAGGAGTCTGCCTCGGTGGAGATCGAGTACGAGGAGAGCGGCCGCTGCTCTCTGGTTCTTTCCAAAGTCTCTGCAGACGACGCTGCTGTGTTCACCTGCAGAGCCACCAACGACCACGGGGAGGCAGTGTGCTCCGCTCGGCTCTCTGTCCAGCCACAACAATGAGACCGATGTGGTTTAAATGCAGACGAAAAGATCATAGACTGAACTAAACTTAAATGCCTCTATTCAATTCAATTTGTTCTTGTATAGCCCTAAATCACAACAGTGGTTATCTCAGAGGAATTTACAAAAACGTTGAATTTGCCAACGCAGATCAGAGAATCAAACAGTTTAAGCTCAAGAAATGCAATGATTAAAAAAACACATAGAGCCATTGGTCTGTAGGGGGCAGATGTCCATAAATGCCATTGACTGTTGAATGTCCTGGATCATCTTTACCACCTGCATCGGCTCTAAAACTCTAAAAACGATAAAATGAGAAACTCCGGGGAGGCCTAGATTGAAAGAGGGATCCGCTCCAACGGAAAGACGGGCTGTAGATCCAGGATTCAGACTGTAGAACGAGGACTGAGGCCACACGATGCTTTGAAGGGTGGGAAGCTCCGACCCAAATGTTGAATGATTTTGGTTAGACATGTGCAAACTTTGGCATCCCAGAAAATCAGTTGCTATGATCGATGCCGAGAGGTGAGACCTTTTTACCACATAATCCAATCTTCAAGAAGCCAAAATCACTTTATTAAAGTAAGCGCCTGAATTGTCTTATTATCTATGAGATGGTCTACGTCAGTGTGTCATGGTATTTTGCACCTTGACAAGTTGTTTGGTGTGCTTTTGGATCCAATATCATCTGATTGGTCAAAGTAATGTGAAAAGAAAATAGTGTGAGAAGATTAGAAAGACCTTTTTGCGCATGCTTGATTTTCTGTATAATACTTTATGATATGAATGACTTTGCTTTGTTAATAAAGCCTGCAGAGTTTTAGCTGATGGTGTGACATGCGATTGTTTTTACGACAAAGATGTGGCATGACTCAAAAAGGTTGGGGAACACTGGTATGTGCTCTCAGCGAGTCAGATCTGTGACGAGACAAACCCACCCACTGTAGAAAGACAATGTAATATGTTTGTAATTTTGACTAATAAAAAAAATGTTATGGACGACGACTAAGAAAACACGATCACAAAGGCATATTTATATTATAAGAATGTCCTACTGAATAATGTGACTTTCTCAAAACCAATATTCTTTAGATTTGTGAGCATACCATCCATCTGTTTTCTTCCGCTTCATCCCTTGCCAAGTCTGCAGTCTAAGCAGAGACACCCAGACCTCCCTTTCTACACGCACTCTTCCAGCTCATCTGGGGGAATTCAGAGGTGGTCCCAGGCCAGCGTGTCCTGGGTCTTCCTATGGTTGTCCTCCTGGTGGGACGTGCTCAGAACACCTCCCCAGGTCCATAAATACACAGGATCACCACTGTCCTTAGACCCTCTCCCATTGGACAGGAACGATAGAGAAAACCCCAGTGGGTAGAAACACTGTATGTGAGAAACCTATATTGAGAGGGCTGACAGGCTGTAGATCCAGGACTCATTCAGGACTCAGGCTGTAGATCCAGGACTCATTCAGGACTCAGGCTGTAGATCCAGGACTCATTCAGGACTCAGGCTGTAGATCCAGGACTCATTCAGGACTCAGGCTGTAGATCCAGGACTCATTCAGGACTCAGGCTGTAGATCCAGGACTCATTCAGGACTCAGGCTGTAGATCCAGGACTCATTCAGGACTCAGGCTGTAGATCCAGGACTCATTCAGGACTCAGGCTGTAGATCCAGGACTCATTCAGGACTCAGGCTGTAGATCCAGGACTCATTCAGGACTCAGGCTGTAGATCCAGGACTCATCCAGGACTCAGGCTGTAGCTCCAGGACTCATTCAGGACTCAGGCTGTAGATCCAGGACTCATTCAGGACTCAGGCTGTAGATCCAGGACTCATTCAGGACTCAGGCTGTAGCTCCAGGACTCATTCAGGACTCAGGCTGTAGCTCCAGGACTCATTCAGGACAGGTGGATGGGGGGTGCAGTCCACGAGTCCCGGACACTCGAGACTCAGTTCAAAAGTAAGTGAATAAAACCAGCAGGTAGAGGTGTTTCACTACAGCAATCCATTCTTTATTTACTGTATAATACGAACCCTAACCCTTCAGGTCCATAAATTAGTATTTTTTTCTTGAAGTAAAGTTAAGGTTGAATGGTTGAATTTTATCAGCAAAAAAGCACAACACAGACTTCTATAAAAACACAAAACAAGAACAAAGTATTTACAACTGTTGTATTTACAATAAATTATGAATAACTAATAAATAAACATATGTTTTAGCAGTTTAGAATTAAATAAAAACATAGAAACATTTAAAGTCAAGGTCAAAACTTTGGTGGTTGTTTTGTTGAAGATATTGTATTTCTGTAAAGTTCAGCAGCTCTGGACTCGAAGGCGCTGACGATTTCTCTGGCAACTTCTTTGAAAATCACCGCTGCCAGCTGAGAGTGGAGCAGCGACTTGAACTGAAAGGAAACCTGAAGATGGAAACAGACTTAGGATGAAGACATACTTTATTCGTCTCTGGGGAAATGTCAGTGTTGCATCACCGAGTACAGAACAGTAGGAATGAGGAGCACACAACAGAAGATAGATGAACAATAACTATATTAAAATTAAATTTAAAAAAACTTTAACCTAACATAGAAGCAAGTATAAAATCTCTATAGCTTTAGCATAATAAAGAATAAAGCCTTGAATGTAATATAGTATAATTTTACTAAAGAATATAAATGTATCTAAGTGGTACCTGTATACTACTGCTGTGACAGATACAAATCACACAATAGAGGTAAAAGGCTTGGAAAGTTGTTCTACATTCTGGAAAACATTCTCTACCACATTCCTGGGACGCTCTGAACGTCTGTAAGCATTTAAATGGCGTGAGGATTTCTTGTTGCATTTAAAGCTGGGGGACCTAACTTTATGACACTCACAGTGAAGTCCACGATGCAGGAGTCTGGAGCAGGACCAGGTGAGAAGCTCCAGACAGACTCCAGATGGTGGAAGAGCGAGGAGTCTCTGCACACTGCCTGTTTGGATAAAAAAAACCATCTGTTTTCACAAGGATCGGACAAAGAAACACAGACATAGTTTACATCGGCGAGAGGTCAGTGTCAGGGCTTAGCTGGATCTTATAGAGTTTACCTTTTTTATTATTATACTACTTATGTACTGCTTTGAATGCTCTACGCACCTAAAAATCCACAATCATACATTTTATATAAATTGTTCCTAGTTTATATTCTGCATTCAAGACACTATTGCAACAGGTTCCGTTTTGAATCAAGAATCGATTTTGTTCTTCACCTCTTTGTCTGTGATGTCTCCTCACACAGCATTTTGGCGCTACTGAATGCAAAATAGTTATTGTGTTTTATGAAGACAAATTGTAGTGCCATTAAAGTTGTACAAAGGAGAGAACATGACATTAATATTTCACATTTCCTATAGCGTTTCATCATGTTTCAGTTTTTTCCGCTTTTTATAAACAACCAGTGTTTTAAGTGGTTTTTAAGTCTGCAATGTGGAGATGATTGGGCAGCTTTGCACTAGCATTCTTCCTCAAACAAGGGGTGAAGGGGAAAAAAGTAACAAACAGATAATGAGATTGGAAATGTACTTAATATATGTAATTATTGAGCCATGGCTGTCATGATCACTATAGCAGCAGTTTTGTCTTTTATCAAAATACCCTACTCTAAGGTATATAGGATAAAGTGTAGAGGGTGGTTCTTTCCAAAAAAAAAAAAGAAAAATCCTCCAATATACCTTAAACTATCTTTCTCAAGTTTTCCTCAAAATTAGCCAGAGAACATTCCAAACTTCTTTGACTTCCACATGATTTTATACAATACAAACACATAATATTTTAAAAACATTGATTTTTTCTGGGTTGACTTTAAACCCTGCAGAGGACCTTTTGTTCTCACCCGTATTTGATGGTTTGGGACGTGCGAGAGCTCAGAGACGTAGCGTTCAAAGACTGGAGGAAATCCGACCGTCAGCTCAGCCAGAACATGTCCGTTTCTGCTCCGTGCGCTCCGGGAAGCTTTGCACCATGGGACGAAACAGCTGTACTGGTCCACGTTGGCCACGATGTCGTAAATCTGCTCCGGAGTGTATCTGAAGAGAGTTTAAAACATCGGAATCGTTCAAATCTGAAAAAGTAGGTTAAGATAAAGAGATCCTTTATTCGTCCCACAGTGGGGAAATTTCAGTGTTGCATCACAAGTTACAAAACAGTAGGAAAGAAGAGCACACGGCACAATAAAGTGAACAATAGCTAAACTAATTAAAATAAAACAAACTAAAGAGGCAAATATAAAGTACTGTGTATTCTAGTGCAAGCAATGTGTAGTTATATGTTTACATCTGTACATGTTGGCAGCAGTGTGTTTACATCTGTACATTAGCAGCAGTATGTTAGCATCTGTACATTAACAGCAGTATGTTTACATCTGTACATTAGCAGCAGTATGTTTACATCTGTACATTAGCAGCTGTATATTGCACATTCTGATATAAGTTAAGGATATTGCAACAATGCATGACACGTGGGATCAGGTTGGCAGTGTTCATTAGTCCTTATTGTTTGTTGTACAGTCTGACAGCAGCAGGAAGGAAACACCAGCGGAACCTCTCCTTCACACATCGAGGGTGAATTAGTCTGTCACTGAAGCTGCTCTCCAGAGCAGAGAGAGTGTCCTGCAGGGGGTGACAGTCATGGTCCAGCATAGATGTTAGTTTGCTCAGGACCCTCCTGTCCCCCACCTGCTGCACTGCGTCCAGGGAACAGCCCAGGACTGAGCTGGACTTCCTGATGACCTTGTCCTCTCTGTGATGCTGCTGTTCCAGCAGACCACACCGTACAAGATGGCTGATGCCACTACAATTACTGTGTTCTGTGTTTTGGTTTTGGAAAATGTGTGAGGATATGGGACGTCTCTGCTCAGACTCCAACCATTTTCTCCTGATGAATGAACATGGAGTATTTTTTATCAATTCAATTTATTTGTGTGAAGTACTAACTCACAACAGCAGTCATCCCGGAGGACTTTAGTAAGTAAGTAAGTGCGTGAGTAAGTAAGTCATCTTTATTTACGTAGCGCTACAGACCAAGGTCACCCAAAGCGCTACGCAATGTTCAGAGTTCAGATATTGTTCCATTCTTTCCACACGGTGATGACAGAAGCGAGACGCCAAACACACTGGAGCGTCAAAGCCCAAATCAACACCATATGTTCATTCACTCATTACATTCAGACCTATCGTACCCGGAGGAAACCTACACAGACACAGGGAGAACATGCAAACAGAAGGGCCCTGTTCTGACCGGGATTCGAACCCAGGACCTTCTTGCGAAGAATAAGTGGTCTGGTGATGAGGTTTCAAAGAACTTTGTAGGCTTTTTTCTGGTCCTCAGTCCAAGTCCCCAGGGCCAGACTCTAGACTAGAGCACAGGATTGGCCTCCTGCTGGTGACCAGAGTCAGATCTAAACATGGGGAGAACAGTCTTCCTGAAAATGTGTGACAGGCTTCTACTCTGACATTTTTCAAATCCAGGTTCAAACCAATTCTGAATTGTATCTTTTAATGTACTGCAATTATTTATGATTTTAAAGCATTGTGTGATTAGTTTAGTTTGGTTTCAGTTTATTCTTCTTCACAATATCACACATTTACTCATACATTGAGTTTGTATCCATTTTCTGACACTGAGAAAAATAAATGGACACCCTAGGAAGCTACACAAGCTTATGTATGGGGTCCAACAATACAAAGATAACAGAAACAGATAGCATGAAAACAGAGATTGGTTAAATTTGAGATAAGAAAGTTAGAAAAGAGAAATCGAAAAATACATATACACACACACATTCACACACACACACACACACGCTCACACACATTCAGAGATAGTGTTTGTGTCACACATGTTATCATTGACGTTGTTTCCATGTACCCATTGCACCAGCCCCTCACTGATCCTCCTGCAGGTGGTGAGTCCACAGGAGCATAATACTATTTTATATTTTAATTTTATTGGGTGTTGTCAATATTATAATCACTATTGTTTTATATCATTATGGGAATTAGATAGCTATGGTCTACGCAGGTGGATAAACGCAAGACTAAATATCTGTCCCTCACAGTCACAAGGACTCCATTGTGTATCCTATGTTATGATATGTTCTGATTGTCTCTTGATGCAACACGTTTGCCTTTCTATGTGCGACGTAACAATGATTATTTAAACCATGTCCTGACTTTGTTCTGTCTGAAGAAACTCAAACCACTGAAACCTGAAGGAAATTGAAAATAAACTTCCAGGAGCTGTGGTGCGCTCCCAACAAGTATTTTCCGTTATTTTCAATGAGGAATTCTGCTTCAGCACCATTTGCAAGATGGCTGCCAAAATTGTCATGGTAACAGAAACCGCAAGATGGCTGCCAAAATCGCTACGCCAACAGAGCCCATAAGTTGGCTGCCAAAATCGCCATGGCAACAGAACGTGAACTATTGTCACGGCAACATGACATTGTGTTCTTTATGAGGTCACAAAGAGTCAGAGTCCATGTGTGGAGACACAGACAGCATAATAAATCTGAGCAGAGGAAAGGCCGGACCGAGGTTTTAATCGCGAGAAACACAAATGAACAAAATGTCGTGCTTTGGAAGAAGATCGAAGAAGGACAAGCTTATAGAAATTCTTGAATGCCGCGTGATGGTGTTGGAGGAAAAACACCAAAGTCTGGTAGAGGACCTGAAGAGGGAGACGCAACAAAGGTGCGAGCTGGTGAAGACTCAACAGGAAAGAGTCGACAACAGCAGCAGCAAGTGAGCCTGCTCCAAACAGAGAGGTCTGCCTTAGAGACGGCTCTACTGCAGGCTTCAGAAAGCTCCACTTCAGCCCAACGCAGACTGGAGAATGCTGTCCAGGAGAAGACTGCTCTCCAAGCGGCTTTACTGCAGGTTTCAGAACGCTCTACTTCTACCCAATGCCAACTGGAGAATATTGTCCAGGAGAAGACAGCTCTCCAAGCTGCTTTACTGCAGGAGTCAGAAAGTTCCACTTCTACCCAACGCAAACTGGATGAGGCTGTCCAAGAGATGACAGTTCTCCAAGTGGCATTACTACAGGCCTCAGAAAGCTCCACTTCAGCCCATCGCAAACTGAAGGATGCTGTCCAGGAGAAGACGGCTCTCCAAGTGGCTTTACTGCAGGTTTCAGAAAGCTCTACTTCTACCCAATGCAAACTGGAGAGTACTGTCCGGGAGAAGACAGCTCTCCAAGCGGCTTTGAGTGAAATCACAGGGCAACTACAGAAGGCTCATGAGGAGATTCAGGCCTTGAAAGCAGCGAATGCAGAAGATGCCAAACGGTATAATTCGATAATGACCAAGCTCCAAGACGAGAAACGGGTGACATATAAAAAAAACCTGGAGGCGATTGACCTGTTGAACGCTCGTATACTGGACGCCAGCAGCTATGCAGACAAGCTGAGGACCCAGATGCATGAGCAAGAAACAGAACTGAGGACTGAAGCTTCTCAGTTGAAAGAAATGTTGGCCAAGACTCAGAAAGAGTTAGAGGAGTATGATGCAAATTTCCTGATGAAAAACTCTGCGATGGAGGCAGAAGACGCGAAAGTCAAAGCCGAGAATAGAGAGCTTAAAGCTAATATTCTGAATCAGGAAATTCAGCTGAAAAATGTACACGCTGCGTCAGACAAACAGAGACTTCGCACCATTCAAGAGCTGAGGAAGAAGATCGAGCTGAAAGACAAAGTGATCAGCAATCTGACAGAAAACAAAGAGAAGGAGACAGAGCAGCTGGCCAATACCCAGAAAGAGTTAGAGGAGTGTAGATGAATCATTCTAGATCAGGAAAGCCATATGAAAAATGAGAAAAGACTTCTTGCTGCACGGATTAAAAACATGAACGAGGAAGAGGCTGTGAAGGAGGTCAGGAGGACCTCCGATCTCACCATTCAGGAGCTGAGGAAGAAGATCGAGCAGAAAGACAAGGTCATCAGCAAACTGAAAGAAAGCAATCAGGAGGAGAAGGAGCAGCTGGCCAATGCCAGGATAATGAATCGGGAAAAGCTCTCAGAAAACTTGGAGATAAAATGGGAAGAAGAACGCAAAGAGATGGAAAGGATTCAGCAAAGCCATCTGGAAGAGATCCAGAGGTTAGGACAATCCTTGGAATCGTCTGAAGAGAAACGAGAAGAGTTAGAGAGTGCAAGAAAAATGTTAGAGAACAAGTATTGCGAGCTGACAGCACTGACTGAATGCAAGAAAAAGCAAGAGGTAAACATCAAAAAACAGGTGAAAAAATCAAGTAGTCCGATAAGTGACCTGGACGAATCTGCAATGAAGCACATTCAAGACCTCCGCGAGTTATTCAACCATCAAATCCAGGAGGCAAAGACGGATGCAGCTGTTAAGATAAAACAGCTAGAGGCTAAAATACTGGAACTGCAGCTGAATAATGTACACGCCTCTGAACAGAACAAAGACATGTCCGGGTGTTATTAAGACACCAATAACCCAAACAAAATCCCCCCACTCCCATTCCCAAATCCCATTCTCTAACTCCTTATAGACCGTTTTAAAGAAAGACAATATAGACTGAAGGTTGATACACTTCCACTTCCACAAAAATATACAAAAGATCCCAATATCACAGGGAGAATTGCACACTTTGGCCTCTCTGCTCTCTCTTTCTCTGGTCTCTCTCCCTCTGGTGGAGGGGGAGAGACAAGAAAGGAGGTAGAGAGACAAGAGATCTCTCTGGTCTCTCTCTCTGGTCATCTCAAAGCAAAATTTCTCAAAACCAGTCATGATCCTAAAGCTAACAGCTAGCACACATGGGGCCTGGACACCGGTGGGATGGGAGACCTGGTATTCCCACCAGGAGCTACAGTGGGGCGGTTGTAAACTCGTCATTGTGTTCTTAGGCAAGACACTTCACCCACCCCCAATGGCAGGTGGTGGTAGGAGGGGCCTCTATGGCACGCTCACTTGCAGCAATTTACCCCAGGGCAGATGTGGCTAGTAGTTCACCACCAGCGCGTATGGAATGAATGATTAGTGTGCCGTGTTGCATGAAATAGGAAGCTTTAGTTCAGGTTGAATGCAACAGTTTGAAGCAGCAGTAGCACTTTGGTTTCATGACCGGCACTGTGAGATTTGGGTTCAAGAGACGTATGTATGAAGACGCCAACAAGACCATACAAGAGTTGAAGGGCAGGATAATTAATCAGAAAAAGCACTCCAAAAACATGGAGATAAAATCAATCAATTGTATTTATAGAGCCCTTTACAACACCCAAGGAGACCAGTGCTTCACAATAAAATTACATAAAATCCATTAAAACATTCATGCTTAAAAAGCATTTAAAAATGCTTTTTAACCATTTTTAATGCTTAAAAAATGGAAGGAAGAATGCAAAAAGATGGAAAGGATGAAGCAAAGTCACCAGGAAGAGATCCAGAGGTTAAAGCAATCCTTAAAATCATTTTATAGAGGAAAGAGAAACAAAACTGACGGATGTCAAAAAGCAAAGAAGATGCAACTCAATTGAGTTTGATTGGTTACTGTTGACCCGAGATATAAAGAAGAAACCGGAATAGACTTTAAAGAGAAGTGGAAGTCGTCTTGAAAATGATCTTTGAGAGTTATCCCCCCAACCCCCACCCCACTGCAATACAAAAAACAAAATAAAAATTATAAATTATATTAAACATACTGATGTCTGTATATTCAACTTTTGGTAACACTCTAGATTAGCCGTCACCAATTAACAGCTAATGTTTTGTCCTCTAACTCTAACGCTAACCCACATGGGAAAGTGTCAGTTAGTAGAGGCCATGTAGAATAAGGACTAATAAGTGCTGAATGAATACCAATTAAGAGCTCATGAACCATACATTATACATTTATTAACTTTTAATTAATGAGGGTTAAACTAAAGTGTGACTCAACTTTTTGTATTTAAAACTGCAGGGCTCACCATTGACCTAATGTTACAAACGTACTTTTACTTTCCATCCATCCATCTATTTTCTTCCGCTTTATCCATTGCCGGGTTGCAAGCCGGACTTCCCTCTCCACACACACTTCCTCCTGCTCATCTGGGTAACTCCTGAGGAGCACAGGGACTGGCCTCTTGCAGGTTCCCAGAGTCAGGACTAAACATGGAGAGGCAGCGTTTCATATTTGTGCAGCTAAAATCTACATACCAACCTACCCACCTACCTATCTAATCTATATATCTATTAATGATACATTCTGTTCTGTTTCTACTGCGATTATTTATCAATTTAATGCCTTGTTTGATGTTGCACATATTTTACCAGTCCGTTGTATCTAGTGCCGTATTATTTGGGTTGCGTGTTGGGGGCAGTTTGACCTGGAGAGTCAGTAACCGGCTCGACAGGCTGATCACGGTGCCCTCTCCTGCAGGGCATCCTGGGTCACTCCAGACACCCTCTGCATGACACTATGGCCACTCAGAGTCGTAATCGTAGCAACAGGCTCCTATCACTGCGCTGCCGAACGATCCTTTTTTCCTTCGGCTGTCAGACTGTACAACAGACCTGAATGAGTTTAAAATATATGCTCTATTGTTAGGTAGTTAGTTTGAAATGTTAGTTAGTTAGAAAAATGTATAATTGATGTACTTATATTGATGTGTTTTCTGCTGCTGGATACCTGAATTTCTCCTACAGTCGTCAATAAAGTATCTATCAATCTTTCTAGAATTGATATAAATCGTATTTGTTTGTTGTGGATTATTGGAGGCAGGACCCGCTTTCAGGAAACTAGACTTGTTGACTCAACAGGTGTTTTTTTGTTTTTACCTTAACCTCTGAATCTGTTTATGTGTACAGAAAGCCGGTAAAGCAATGCTGGCGCTGCAGAGGATGCCTCTGCTTTCAAAGAGCGACAGTCCTGCAGACGTTCAGCATATTTTAGGACATGACCATTTTTTTATCCACACACCCACTGTTTTTGCTTTCTTTATTCACTAATTGTGTTAGTGGATTGAAATTATTTGCAAACTTGTAAACATTGTTTTTTAAGGGTTAATATGGCCGACTATGGCATGTTATGCATCATTTTAAAGATAACTAACTCAAGAAAACAACTACATCAACTGTTCTAATCTATGCAATAAACTGAGCGCAAAAGCATGGTGTACGTGGTGTAGGGGACAGGGGGATCATAACACCGGGCATGTGGGTGAATGTAGCGGGGATAAACAACCGCGGGGAATTCGGGAGACGAGGCAGAAGCCGCGGGAAAAAACAAACCGCTAATCGCGTTCACTGCCTTTACAGATGGCGATGATGATGATGAAGGCAGACCTTGAGAGACGAGAATCCATAAAAGTGGATCACAACTGGTGTTTGTACTTTGTATAATTTTTTCCACTATCATCCTACATGTATTAGATTATAGATTAGATAGTAGTATGCCAGATCAGATGTATCCCAATGAAAATAATGTTAAGCACTTTTTGATGTGAGAATTGTATACATGCATGTCTAAAAAAATTGAGTGGGGTATATCCCCCCTAGGGCCATGGCTAGGGGGGGACTGATCCCCCCATACCCCCCCCTGGAGGAAACCCTGAATAATAATAATAATAATAATAATAATAACCTCAGGGTCCTGCTTTCAAAGTGCTCTATCCTCTGGGGATGGGCAGCTGTGATCAGGTGAACAAAACCACGGCTCAGTCTCACGGAGGAGAAAGGAGCCAGAGGAAGGGTCCTGCTGCTCAGTAACAGCGAGCCGCAGGAGCCAAAATGCCTGAAAGAAACACAAACACACACACACACAGCATGAACACACAGCTCAAGTTTCAGGTCAGATCTGTGGAGATAGAGATGCAGCAAACTGAGAATACATGTTTTTCAAGATGTTTGTATGAGGAAGAATGTTAATAATGAGATTGGTTAAGAATAATGTAAATGTGTAACGTGTTATGGACAATGGTAAATTACAATGAATGGGTTTTTCTCAGTTTAAAATCACACTTTTCACATGTCATTATTCATTCACTCCATAAATGTTTGGTGATAAACTACTACTGTAGCCACATCTGCCCTGGGCACAATGACAGAAGCGAGGCAACCAGAACGTGCCCATTGGCCCCTCCGACCACCACCAACCATTCACACACACACTAGGCTTAGTCTAAGTTTCTTGCCTAAGGACACAACAACAGTTTGGTACTTTACAGCCGCAGCCGCCCCACTGTGGCCCCTGGTGTTCACAGAGGTCTCCCATCACAGTACTAACCAGGCCCCGTCCTGCTTACCTTCAGAGGTCTGACAGTATCTGGACAGTACATGCACTTACGAACATACAGTACGTGGATGATTTAGTATTTTAATTTTTTTACTACAAAAAGACAAGATACCGGTAGTATTGTTAACTGTACTAGTATTAGACTAATAGTAATAATACCGGGCAGATAGGTATTTTTCAGTTGTCAATTATTTTGGCTGAATGTTCAAAGAGTCATCCATTTCTAACACGTCAAACAACAAAAAACAACTCGTGCTTATCCCTGAAATTAAACTATTTTATCGTGTGGTCAAATGAAAAGCTGTGCTAATTTAAAATACCGGTAATTGTACCAACAGAAGCCTGGTGTTTTTGTCTTTGCCTCCCATTTAAAAAACGCATCGTTGAATTGTGATTCTTTTTTTTATTTCTTTTTGGAACGTTACATACCCCAGCTTTAATGTCTTCAATTTATAGTGTCAATTTGAAGACATTAAAGCTTGACCAACACTTGAATATACTGTAGTGAATTTTCAAAAACCGAAAATAGTCAAAATTGTATTAATCTAGTTCAATCTTCTGGAGTACATTTGAAAAAGAAATTCTCAACAAAGGGGAAAACATTTTTTTCTGTTTTTTCAGTGAATATATTTCGCACACATATCTGTCAAATATTTGTCTAATGACACTTGTCTAACTACTCACTTGTTGATGCTTTTGCGACCATTAAACAGAACAGAGCATATATATACTGCAACAAAATACATTACAAGTGATTTTAATGTGTATTCCCCCATCTCCCCCGCCAGGCTGGGACCACAGACTGTAAATATTGACTCTGACTAAAGCTGCAACTAACGATTATTTTGAAAATCGATTAATCTATCGATTATTTTTACAATTAATCGAGTAATCGCTTGGCTGTGAATTGTGTAGAAAAAATGTATTTTTTCATCACAAAAAGTGAAACTGGCAACACTCGAGGACGTATTGATGGCGTAAACTTAAAGTAAATGTTTGTAACAGGCTCTTTGTGCTAATTCTGCTCTGATTGGATGAGACAGACAGATATTCATGAAATTATAAAAACAAAGTCGGTTTTAATCAAAAATACTACATTTTCATGTCATTTTTGCTCTGTTTGAGTCCGTGTGAACCAGAAAACGATTAATCAATTATTAAAATAGTTGTAGACTATTTCAATAATCGATTAGTCGTCGATTAATCGATTAGTTGTTTCAGCCCTAACTCTGACCGTGAAGGAGATCAGAAAAAGAAAAGTCACAAACCGTATTAGTGGGTCTTGTGGATGTCCGAGCGCCGCTGTAGAAAAGCCCGTCTGCGCACGCTTTAGCCGGCTCTTTAGAAAGCGTAAGGTTGTTTTAGTGATCATAACGCAGAGAGACGAGAAAGAAGAGACTGTGCGTGTTTCCCACAGAGAAGCAGAGTCAAACAAACTCCTCACATTCATTGGAGAAAGGAATGTCCCTGTAGCCAATCAGGGCGTGGATGGTAATGAGACTGTCCTATCAGAACAATGGCATTTTCTATGTTTACTCAGGGGAGGATTTTACAAAATTTTAGGAAAACAAACTGCCTTCTCCACTTTTTGAACCCTCTGGTCTTATCAGACGTATCACCAGAATGATTGACAATTAGGAGGACCAATCGTTTTGACTCTTGATGATCCACCCGGAAGTAGGAAATCCCATATGTATCTTTAAAGATGCGGTTAGGGATTTTTTCCAGGGGCCTTTTTATTTTTTTATGTTGGGAAAGCGTCCCTAAACCCTCTCCAAAAATAAATTCAAATATTTTAGAGTGGACCGATAAAAATAAACCAATGGGATGTGTTTGCCCCCCTTCACCAACCCTCCAGTTATCGGATTTTTTAAAACCTAAAAGAACTGAACAGAAAATGCCAATTTCACGATTGCCACCTATTCTCCCTGCAAAGGGGGGAAGAGTGGTTTCGAGTTGGTGCTACGGCTAAGCTAACAAAGTCGCTTACTGCACCTTTAAAGGAGGATTTTCCCAAATTTTAGGAAAGAAAAACGCCCTCTCCACTTTTGGAACTCTCTGGTCTTATTTGACAAGCACATATTGACAATTAGGAGGACCAATAGTCTTGATGATCCACCCGGAAGTAGAAAATCCTTCTATATACTTTTAGGTAGTTTTTCCATGTTCTCTCTTTACTTGACATTGTTGTTTTTTTTTCGCTTCCATCTACATATACTACTAACATATCTATACTTTCTTCTTGCATTCTATAATATGGTTTTTTACTTTGAAAATAATGTTAATTCAATGCTTAAAGGGCATTTATACAAGTTTGAAGTGGTTAGCCATGCTTCCACTGAAGAAAATGACAAGACAAGCTGGAATAGTGTAGGTGTTACAAAGGCATCACTAAACGTCCCAATTGTAAAATGTATCGACTGTATCTAGGTTAGATCATAGGCTTGGTTAGAACGGCCAATTTACAGAATGTGATTGAAAAATAACATATAAAGTGCATTTCATGCTTAAATTGAATGCATGATTATGATTTTGATACACATAATTAACAACAGTTACATGTATCAAGCCTTAGCTAAACCAATGTCCTTTGTATATATTTTAAGTTTTTCTTTTTGGTTATTTTAAAAACAATAAATTAATCATTTCTGGTCATTCAAAATCTGTTCTTTTAAAATTTAAAAACAGCACATGACTCATACATGACTAAGGCAAGTTTATTTGTATAGCACTACAGTAGAAGCTTGTCACTCCTGATGAGCCTCTTCTAGGTCTTGTGCAAACGTTATTTTTCCGATTTCCCGGATGTACTCCAGTCCGTCTGGCAGCGCAGTTTTCAGTTTGACCAGAGGGGGCACACTTCCATTGGTGTAGTATCTGAAGGCCGGTTCAGGGGATTCAATTGCGTCCAAAAATACCTGCAACATTTGAAGTACAAACCAAATTCATGATTACAGACTCATAGGAAACAAGCAAGTGTGAGTGCCTGTTCAAATCGGAACAGGGCCTTTCTGTGTGGAGTTTACATGTTCTCCCCGTGTCTGCGTAGGTTTCCTCTGGGTGCTCCGGTTTCCCCTACCACTAAAAACATGTACAATAGTTCAGGATGAATGAATGTGTGGTTGTGAGAGCGATCCGGAGTGATGTGTTCATTAACATGTACTGTCCCAGCCACATAAGTCCGATAAGGAAGTGCTCATAGACAAAGTTTTCTCCAACTTGCTCTGGCTCCTAATGACTTCCATTGACAAGTAGCTCATTAACTGTTTGTATCTCTCTGCTCCTGGGTTTTTATGATGGTAATGACCTTGTAAATCCTGCTAGGAGCCATAAAGATTGAACAAACAGATACAGCCTTCATTCTCGAGGAAAAATTCTTGCTAACCTTAGCAACCCTGTTAGCAACACACGCTGGAACAATTGCCCATCTAAGAAAAATGGGCTTCATGGCATCTCCTGGATTAGGATAACACTGCGGTGACATCAGCTCTCGTCTGTTCTAAAATATGGTCTAGGCCTCTACTTTCAAAAAGCTGGATACATTTTAGTGCAATTAAAAAAGGTTTCACCAGTTTCATAATTTGAAATATTTTTGTAATAATTGGATGTGTGCAATACCTGAATGTGTGCAATAGTTAGATGGGTGCAATACCTGGATGTGTGTAATAATGGAATGTGTGAAATACTTGGATGTGTGCAATACTTGGATGTGTGAAATAATTGGATGTGTGCAATAACAGGATAGGTGCAATAATTGGATGTCTGCAATAATTCGATGTGTGCAATAACAATGTGTGCAATAATTGGATTTGTGCAATTTCTGGGTGTGTGCAATGATGTGGACAATTATTGTGTGGCCTGTGCAGGAATGCAAGCTGTTATTTTTCCCCCCTCTTCTTTTGTTTCTGTCGTTGTTGCTGTATTTAAACCTCATTTCAAAACAGACCTATCTACCTGTTTTGGTCCCAGATTAGTTTCCAGGATCTGTGTTTATCTGCGGAGGTCTGACGAGTGCTCATCTAGTCTTCTCTGCTCTCACCTTGACAATATCGTCGGTGTCTTGGGCCACGTTTTGGAACATGGCCCCGCAGTGCTGCAGGAAGGTCTGGTAGAGGCGCAGAGTCAGCGGGTCAAGCGCGTCTAACAAGGGGTCGCCCGGTTCAGTCCTGTGCAGGTTCAACAGGAAGTCTGTGTTTACCGGACCACACTCCACCAGGCTCACGCTGACACAAGGAGAAACATAACGTATAGCTAAGAACAGGACACGGCAAAATAAGATGCATTATTATTGACCCTTAACTCTCTGTTCTCCCCTTGAAGAAAGCAATAACTCTTTTTAAAACTATTTGCTAAGTTGTAGGAGCACTAATAACACAAATATTATTTTTATTATAGGCCTTTACCAAACGGTTGAGACGCAGTTTGATGGTAAAAGTGCCAAAAACCAAGTGAGATGCCCCAATGAGGTATATTTCAGTTCCAAGACTCAAAAAGTGGTCTATCACCATCTACTTGAAGCTTGGAATTGAAATCGAACTCTTTGGGGCATGTCACCTGGTTTTAGACACTTTTACCATGAAATTGCCTCTCAAACATTTGGTAAAGGCCTAGCATTTGATTAATTTTCCTGTTATTAGTGTTCTACGTCTAAGAAAATCCAAAAAAGAAACAAAAATACATTGCTTTCTTCAAGAAGTGAATGTTTGTAGAAGATACATGGATGCATTTGAACAACAGTGGAAATACTGCCATCTGCTGGAAGAAATGGGAAATTATATTCTGCTGTATTTTGCTCTAAATCAAACATGCCACAATCTACTGTGATTTAAGGCAAACAGATGCAAAAACACACATTTAAGACATTTGTAGAGGCAGTGGCAAATATTTAAATGTAAATATACTTTTAAAGAGGACTCACTGTATGTTGAACTGCTGCAGGAGCACGGCCAGACACTCACACGCTCCTTCGATGGCAAACTTACTCGCACAGTAAACCTCGCTGAAGGGGAGGCCTGCAACACCAATGAATACGTTTATATCATTTGGAATTATTATGATCACATTAGTATTATTTCCTCTCCACCAAGATAATGTAGTATATTATTACACTTTTATACACTACTTGTTTATTTATTTTCGTCAATCTATTATCACTAGACTTTGTAAGAACTGGAGATTATAGAGAGATTATTCAAGTAGATAGTCCGCTAAAATCAGCTTTTGAATTTTGCTAATATTTATTTGCACCATCGTAATATTGTAAATACCCCAGCTTTAGTAATTTTTCCCTGCTTTGGAAACTCTTGAGAAAGGATCAACATGACAAAACACAAATCAATAACATTTTAATTCAATTCAAGCCATTTCTCTTCTTTTGTTTAATCTTCTTGTTTCTTGCTTATGCTAAAGCCGGAGATGTTAGACTTGGTTCTTTATCACGCTAAAGCTACGGATTTGACACTTGCTTATTTACTATGCTAAAGTTCGAGATTTTATTTGATTTTATTTAGTGTAGAGCAATTATACATGTATAATTTCTGCTCTTCTGTATTACTTCCCATAGTTCTGTGACTGACCGTGGAGGCCTCCGGTGCTGCCCGTCACCAGGATGCGGCCCCCTCCTCTGGACTTCATGTCGGGGAGAAAGGTCTGGAAGGTCTGAAGTGTCCCGAACAGGTTCACCTCCATCACCCTCCTCATCACCTCCACAGTCTGCAGCTCCAGGGGCCCCATGAGACCCACGCCCGCATTGCACACTGCACCAGGGACAGACCACACACTCTTTACGCTTCAACAATGTAGTAAATATAAGGTCTTAGTAGATATAAGGTCATGGGTTTAGGGTTAGGGTTTAGGGCTAGGGTTTAGGGTTAGGGTGTAGGTTTAGGGTTAGGGTTAGGCCTAGTGCATCAGATTTTTCCTCCTCAGGATTCAGTATGAGTTGGCGCAAAACCTTGTCTATGAGCGCTTCCCCATTGGGTTCCTTTGAGTTGGCGTGTTAGCATTGCCCATCTATACACTAACTGACACATTTACAGCAATGTTGATTAATGTGTACCGTCCCTATTCAAATAAACTAATAAAAAAGTTAAAACATATATATAATATTTCCTATATTTCCGGAAAATATTTTTCCGGCAACAGTAGCTCAGTTGGTAGAGCATTGGCCTTCAGGCCTGAAGGTTGTGGGTTCAATTCCCACCTCTACACCTTCTCCACCGACTCCCACTGATGACTGCTGTCGTTGTGTCCTTGGGCAAGACACTTAACCCCACTTTGCCCAAAAGCCCCCGCTGAAAGATCAAGGCTATGCTCACACTCAGAGAGCAGCCGTCCTCCTGTGGACTCACCACCTGCAGAGGGTCAGTGAGGGGCTGGTGCTATGAGACTTGGGTGGCATCTCTGATTGCCACCCCCCTGACCCAGAAATGGATTAAAGGGTAGAAAATGGATGGATGGATGGATATAATATTTCCTTTCAATGATACACAGTAGTTGTATTAATTGCATTTTATATTCAAGTAATTCTTAATTTAGTAAAGCCCACAGAAAACACACACACACACAAATTTAAATTCTGTCCACCATTTATCTTTTGAGTTCTTCTTTTTGTGCTCTTTACCTAAAATGTCCACGTGTCCCTCCTGCACCTGAACCTTGGCTCGGTCGATGGAGGTGCGGTCGGTGACGTCCATCTGCAGAATGTCCAGTGTGTCTTTGTGCAAACCTCTCACGCTCTCCAACAGACGCTGCTTCTTGTCCAGGTCCCTCATCGTGGCATAAACTACACAAACATGTTTAAAAGTGAAGTCATTTACTTTTTAAACTGCGGAGAGAGAGAGAGAGAGAGAAACAGACAGACACAGAGAGAGAGACAGAGAGAGAGAGAGACCCTAACGGTTTAAAATGAAGAAATCCTTTTTTCGTCCCACAGTGGTGAAATTCCGGTGTTGCATCACAAGTGGTCTGGCCTTTTTATGTAATGCTGAAACACTTTACATAATAAAACAGTCTCAGTACATTTACTTTCTATATGTGCTCTTTGCCTGGTGAGCGTAAATGTCTATTTATAATCATCGAAAGATTCTCAAACTGTTGGAAATTTGTGCATATTTGAACGTTATACTCACTGATACATCCCTGCGCATTTAAAGGTAGCGATTTTATACTTCTTTAATAAGCTAAAGCTGGAAATGTTATAATTGCTTCTTTATTATACTAAAGTCAGAGATTTTGTACAACTTTATTATGTTAAAGTTTAAGTTTCTATACTTGCTTCTGTTGTACGCTAAATCTAGAAGAATAAAAGCTAGCTCTTTTTTTATTTTTATTTAGTATAGAGTTAATTTATCTTGTGCTGTGTGCTCCTCATTCCATCTGTTCTGTATAACTGGGGCAGCAACACTGAGATTTCTCCACAGTGGGACAAAAAAAAAAGATCTCTTAAAAAATCTGTCACTTCCACCTTTGTAAATAATTCATATCAAGTGAATTACCTTTGTATTTCTTTCCCGGATCCGAGGCCAGTCTTACGGCCAGACTGAGTCCAATCCCAGAGGAGCATCCGGTGATCAGGACCACCTTCTTCACAGAGTGCATGATGAAAACCTGAAAAGCTGAGAGCCACAGAGTTGAATGGATGTGATCTGTGTGACGCTGTGATAGGGAATGCAAGGACTGGAGATCTAGACCCTCGGAGTGTCCTCAGCTCTGTGGGAAACAAAGGAGAGAAAACCAAACATCTTTATCAGGCACCTGCTGCAGACGCCTCCTCTGGGTCTTTCTCATGGGAACTCACGGGACACGGTGCAACATGGAGACTGGCCACACAACCGTTTAGATTTTATTCTAAATTAGGTTAATTGTTTCTTATTCTTTTGTTAGAAAAAGGACAAAAGTATAACGGGCAATACACACACGCTCACACACACACACACACACAAGCACATGCACACACGCACACACACAAGCACACACACGAACACGCACACACAAACACACGCACATGCACACACAAACACACGCACATGCACACATGCACACACGCACACACACACACACACACACACGGACATGCACACACAAACACAGGCACACAAGCACATGCACACACACACACACGCACACACACGCACACACATAGATCCAGTACATACTAATACAAATGACACTACATACATAAACTTAAAAAAGAAAAAAAGGAAAAGCCGTTAAAGTTGTGCAAAATATTTTAAACCTGCGACAGTGTCGCAAGATGACATCGTCTTGGCCTCAAAACACAGTGTACCTTTGGTAATGATGTCACACGACTATCTGGCTTTCTTGCTGTTTTAACAACGATGTCCTGCCGGTGTCAAAACCCAGGGACATTTAGATGAGAGAACTTTTATTCACCACCAAATTTCAAGTTTGAATCTGAAATACGGGAAAACAAAAAAGGAGGAGGCTTAGCTGCCATTTTTAGAGATCACTTTGTCTCCCATAGAATGTCTCTTGGGAAGTTTTCATCATTTGAATATGTGTCTTTTAAAATACAACAAAAACAATCTCCTCCAATACTCTTCATTGTCCTATACAAGCCACCGCAGTCATGTCACAGTTTTATTGATAATTTTACCGAGTTGCTTTCAGTTGTATGCACAGATTTTGATAGTTTGGTTATTACAGGTGATTTTAATATTCATGTGGATAATGTTGATGACAGAAATGCAAATGAGCTGAGTTCTGTACTTGAATCCTTTGATCTCACTCAGCACGTAAGTGGCCCCACCCACAGCAGAGGGCACACTCTAGATCTGTTAGTTACTAAGGGGGTGAATATTTCAAATGTAAACGTGGTCGATGTTGCTCTTTCGGATCATTTCTGTGTTTTTTTTGACATGTGTTTCACTAACAAACCACCAGTGGACTCTGCAACTGTACGAAGAAGACACATAAATGAAAATACGAGTGAACTATTTATGGGAATGATAAACTTTGAGAATGCATCGTATTCTACTGTAGATGAACTGTTTAACTCTGTCACCTCTAGTGCTTTGAATGTTCTGGATACCGTTGCCCCTGTGAAGGTTAAAATAGTGAAAAATAAGCAGAAGGCGCCGTGGGCTAAAGCAGACTCGGTCAGGGCACAAAAGAGAAAGTGCCGGAGGGCCGAGCGGAAGTGGCGCAAGTCCAACCTCCAGGTTGATTACGAGATCTTCAAAGATAAGTTGTGCGAGTTTAACCGGGTGCTACGTAGTACGAGAGAAAGGTATTTTTCTGAAATGATTGAAGGCTGCAGTAACAATCTGCGTGTTCTGTTTTCAACAGTTAATAGATTAACAAACCCCCCTGTTCAAATGCCATTAGAGCTTACTTCCAAACATAAATGCAATGAGTTTGCTAATTTTTTCAATGACAAGGTTCAAGGCATCAAAAACGCCATTGTCTCCAATCCACAGATAACCATCCAACAGCCAGAAAGGCTCTTTGAGCTAACTCACTTTGCACCTGTAAATGATAAAACTGTCCAAGAGATAATCTCCAGTTTGAGCTCCTCCACATGCAGCTTGGATGTACTACCCACTAGATTTCTGAAGTCTGTTCTGAGCAGTCTGTTACCTTCACTCACACAGATAGTAAACATGTCCCTTCATTCTGGAATATTCCCAAAGGCCCTGAAAACTGCAGTCATCAGGCCCCTGCTAAAAAAGAGCAGTCTCGATGCTACGGTACTTAACAACTATCGTCCCATCTCAAATCTGCCATTTATGGGGAAAGTCCTTGAGAAAGTTGTCTACCTACAGCTTACTAGATTTCTTATAATCAACAACTCATTTGATATGTTTCAGTCCGGCTTTAGACCCCACCACAGCACTGAGACTGCTCTTGTCAAGGTTACAAACGATATCCGGCTGAACACTGACGCAGGCAAAGTCTCAATCTTAATCTTGTTAGATCTAAGTGCTGCCTTTGACACTGTCGACCATGAGATCCTCTTACAGAGACTAGAGGACTGGGTTGGAGTCGCTGGCACCGCCCTAAGTTGGTTTAGGTCTTACCTTGAGGACAGGAAGTACTTTGTGGAGATTGGAAACTGTGTCTCAGATCATATGGCCCTGACCTGTGGAGTACCACAGGGGTCGATCCTGGGACCTCTTCTGTTCAATCTCTACATGCTGCCGTTAGGTCAGTTAATACGCAGAAACAAAGTGTCCTATCATAACTATGCAGACGACACTCAGATCTATGTCTCACTGACTGCAGGAGAACATGGACCAGTGGACTCACTCCTTCACTGTATCCAACAGATCAGTGGGTGGATGCAAAACAACTTCCTTCAGCTAAACGCAGACAAAACTGAAATGATTGTCTTTGGTCCCCAGAAACAAAGAGAGAGCGTCATCTGTCACCTACAGTCTCTCTCCCTAAAACCTTCAAACAAGGTCAGAAATCTAGGGGTAATACTGGACTCAGACTTAAATTTTAATAGCCACATCAAATCAGTAACATCAGCAGCTTTTTACCATCTAAAAAACATTGCCAGGATCAAAAACATAGTATCTAAAGCAGACTTGGAGATTCTTATCCATGCATTTGTCTCCAGTAGGTTAGACTACTGCAATGGCCTGCTCACAGGTCTGTCCAAACAGGCTGTAAAACAGCTGCAGTACATTCAAAATGCAGCAGCTCGAGTCCTGACAAGAACCAGGAAGTACGACCACATTAGTCCAGTCCTCAGGTCTCTGCACTGGCTTCCTGTGGCTCAGAGAATAGACTTTAAAACAGCTCTGCTTGTGTACAAGTCTCACCATGGCCTCGCACCAAAATATATTAGTGACATGTTAGTACCATACGAACCAGCCCGGACTCTGAGGAGCACAGGGACTGGACTCCTGTTAGTGCCCAGAGTCAGAACTAAACATGGGGAGGCTGCTTTTCAGATTCATGCTGCTAAAATCTGGAACAGTCTTCCTGAAGATGTGAGACAGGCCTCCTCTCTGACAATGTTTAAAACCAGGTTAAAGACCGTTCTGTTTAGCTGTGCATACAACTGAGGGATTTTATATTTGTATCTTTCTTTTTAATGTTCTGTGATTATTTATGATTTTAATGCTTTCTTATTTTGTTCAGCACTTTGAATTTCCTTGTGTATGAATTGTGCTATATAAATAAACTTGCCTTGCCTTGCCTTGCCTTCAACACACAGTGACGAATAATTCAATGTCATCCACTGATATTTATGAACACACTAACCACTCACAACTGTTAAACAACCATAAACACACACACACACACACACACATTCAGAGATCGTGTATGTGTCACACATGTTATTGTTGTTAACGTTGTTTCCATGAATTAATACTATTTTCCATCCATCCATTTTCTTCCACTCAATCCATTTCTGGGTCGGGGGGTGGCAGTCAGAGCTGCACTCATAACACCAGCCCCTCACTGATCCTCCTGCAGGTGGTGAGTCCACAGGAGCATAATACTATTTTATATTTTATTAGGTTATTATGGACAGCACGACAACGAAAACCGTGACGTCGCCCGGCATGGCGCAGCCGGGGCCCCACCCTGGAGCCAGGCCTGGGGTCGGGGCTCGCAAGCGAGCGCCTGGTGGCCGGGCCTTAGCCCACGGGGCCCGGCCGGGCTCAGCCCGAAGGGATGACGTGGGCAGTCCCTCCTGTGGGCCCACCACCTGCAGAGGGGTCCGTGGTGGCGTGGTGCAGCGAGGACTGGGCAGCGGTCGAAGGTGGAGACCTCGACGACCCAGTCCACACACCCAACATCTGGCTGTTGGGACGTGGAACGTCACCTCACTGGGGGGGAAGGAGCCCGAGCTTGTGGGGGAGGTTGAGCGATACCGACTAGAGATAGTCGGCCTCACCTCCACACACAGCTTGGGCTCTGGAACCCAACTCCTTGAGAGGGGTTGGACGCTCCACTTTTCTGGTGTTTCCCGCGGGGAGAGGCGGCGAGCTGGGGTGGCCAAACTCATTGCCCCCCATCTCAGCCGCCACGTGTTGGAGTTCTCCCCGGTGAATGAGAGGGTCGCGTCCCTCCGCCTCCGGGTGGGGGACAAGTCTCTCACTGTTGTGACGGCCTACGGGCCTAACGGTAGTGCAGAGTACCCGGCCTTCTTGGAGTCCTTGGGAGGGGTACTGGACAGTGCACCGCCCGGGGACTCCGTTATTCTCCTGGGGGACTTCAACGCCCATGTGGGAAATACCAGTGATACTTGGAGAGGGGTGATCGGGAAGAACGGCCCCCCTGATGTGAACCCGAGCTGTGTTCAGTTGTTGGACTTCTGTGCCAGTCACGGCCTGTCCATCACGAACACCATGTTCGAGCACAAGGGTGTCCACCAGTGCACGTGGCACCAGGACACCCTAGGCCGGAGGTCGATGATCGACTTTGTTGTCGTATCATCTGACCTTTGACCGCGTGTCTCGGACACTCGGGTAAAGAGAGGGGCGGAGCTGTCAACCGATCATCACCTGGTCGTGAGTTGGATCCGCTGGCAGGGGAAGAAGCCGGTCAGACCTGGCAGACCCAAGCGTATAGTGAGGGTTTGCTGGGAACGTCTCGCGGAGCCCCCTGTCAGACGGACTTTCAACTCACACCTCCGGGAGAGCTTCTCCCAGGTCCCGACGGAGGAGGGGGACATCGAGTCCGAGTGGACCATGTTCTCTTCCTCTATCGCCAATGCGGCGGCTCGTAGCTGTGGTCGCAAGGTCTCTGGTGCTGGTCCCGGCGGCAATCCCCGAACCCGGTGGTGGACACCGGCAGTAAGGGATGCGGTCAGGCTGAAGAAGGAGTCCTATCGAGCAACGATGGTTCGTGGGACTCCTGAGGCAGCTGTCCAGTACCGGCAGGCCAAACGTGCCGCGGCCCGGGCTGTTGCAGAGGCAAAAACCCGGGACTGGGAGGAGTTCGGAGAGTCCATGGAGCATGACTATCGGTCGGCCTCGAAGAGGTTCTGGCAAACCGTCCGGCGCCTCAGGAGGGGTAAGCAGTTCTTTGCCAACACCGTGTATGGTGCGGGTGGAGGGCTGCTGACCTCGACTGAGGATATTGTCGGGCGGTGGAAGGAATACTTCGAGGTTCTCCTCAATCCCCCCGTCACGTCCTCCGTTCAGGAGGCAGAGGCTGAGGATGTTGGGGCGGACACTTCCATCTCCCTGGCCGAGGTCACCAAGGTGGTTGGCAGCCTCCATGGTGGCAAGGCACCGGGAGTGGATGAGATCCGTCCTGACTATCTAAAGTCTCTGGATGTTGTAGGACTGTCTTGGCTGACACGTCTCTGCAACATCGCGTGGCGATTGGGGGCGGTGCCAATGGAGTGGCAGACCGGGGTGGTGGTCCCTCTCTACAAGAAGGGGGACCAGAGGGTGTGTTCCAATTATCGTGGGATCACACTCCTCAGCCTCCCCGGTAAGGTCTACTCCAAGGTACTGGAGAGGAGGCTACGTCCGATGGTCGAATCTCGGATTCAGGAGGAGCAGTGTGGTTTTCGTCCCGGTCGCGGAACACTGGACCAGCTCTATACTCTCCATCGGATACTCGAGGGTTCATGGGAGTTCGCCCAACCTGTCCACATGTGCTTTGTGGATTTGGAGAAGGCGTTCGACCGTGTTCCCCGGGGTGTCCTTTGGGGGGTCCTCCGGGAGTACGGGGTCCGGGGTCTTCTGCTGAGGGCCGTCTGGTCCCTGTATGACCGGAGCCAGAGCTGTGTTCGCATTGCCGGCAGTAAGTCAGACCTGTTCCCGGTGCATGTTGGCCTCCGCCAAGGCTGCCCTTTGTCACCGGTTCTGTTCACTGTATTTATGGACAGAATTTCTAGGCGCAGCCAGGGGCCGGAGGGGGTCCGGTTCGGGAACCACAGGATTTCATCTCTATTTTTTGCGGATGATGTCGTCCTGTTGGCTCCAACGCACCAGGACCTGCAGCATGCACTGGGACGGTTTGCAGCCGAGTGCGATGCGGCTGGGATGAGAATCAGCACCTCCAAATCCGAGGCCATGGTGCTCGACCGGAAAAAGGTGCCTTGCCCTCTCCAGGTGGGTGGAGAGGTCCTTCCTCAAGTGGAGGAGTTCAAGTATCTCGGGGTCTTGTTCACGAGTGAGGGAAGAATGGAGCGTGAGATTGACAGGCGGATCGGTGCAGCGTGCGCAGTGATGCGGTCTCTGTATCGGACCGTTGTGGTAAAGAGGGAGCTGAGCCGAAAGGCGAAGCTCTCGATTTACCGGTCAATCTTCGTTCCCTCCCTCACCTATGGTCATGAGCTTTGGGTAATGACCGAAAGAACGAGATCGCGGATACAAGCGGTCGAAATGAGCTTCCTCCGCAGAGTGGCTGGGCGCTCCCTTAGAGATAGGGTGAGGAGCTCAGTCACACGGGAGGAGCTCGGAGTAGAGCCGCTGCTTCTCCACGTCGAGAGGAACCAGTTGAGGTGGCTCGGGCATCTGTTCAGGATGCCTCCTGGACGCCTCCCTGGGGAGGTGTTCCGGGCACGTCCCACCGGGAGGAGGCCCCGGGGAAGACCCAGGACACGCTGGGGGGACTATGTCTCTCAGCTGGCCTGGGAACGCCTTGGGGTCCCCCCGGACGAGCTGGAGGAAGTGTGTGTGGATAGGGAAGTCTGGGCGTCTCTGCTCACTGCATGAAAAGTTAGATTTTCGTCACCCTAAACTGCAGGAAATCACGCTCTTTTTCGGGTATCTCAGGCAGTTTTCAGAAGGCGCAGTTAGGGTGCCCTGTCCTCCAAACTGCTGCAGTTAGGGTGCCCTGTCCTCCAAACTGCTGCAGTTAGGGTGCCCTGTCCTCCAAACTGCTGCAGTTAGGGTGCCCTGTCCTCCAAACTGCCGCATCCGTACCATGCTAATGTCCCTACTTTGCATATGAATGCAGAGAAACACTGCGGCCGCCGAGCGCTAATGGCCCTAATTAGCATATGAATGCAGCGGCTGGCCAGGCTGCTATTCAGCATTGGTGAATACCACTACTTTCAAACTCGTGATTGGCTGAAAAATCACACGTGGCCAGCCCACGTGGGATTACTCCCCATTGGTAGCTTACTCCCCATTGGATGAAATCACTACTTTCAAATAAGTATAATCTCTCGTGATTGGCTGGCAGATCTGTCACTATTGGTCACCCTGCCTCATAATTAATGTAATAATATTTATATAAATATTCGTATTATTTATAGAAGAAATGAAAATTTTCCAGGAATATGTTCATACAAAGAAAGCTTTATTAAAACACACACACACACACACACACAGCTTTATGCTCACACATAGGTAATTAAAAAATTACAACTCTGAACTGTCCAATAGCCTCCTCGGGGTTGTAATTTGGCAGCGTTCTAGATAGACGCTTAATGTGCGTGGCTCTTTACTTCCGTGCCGCCTCTAACCGGGACTGCAGCTTGACAGAGTTCAGAAAACTCCGGCTTTCGAAAAGACTGCGACCGCACAATCCATCCAGAGACACCGTCCACAACGCCTTCTTCTTCATTGGACATTAGGTCTACCGTGGCGGACTTTCAGAGTTCCACTTTGTCACTTTCTAGCACACTCAGTCTCGATTCCAGCAGCTGAAAGAATCAGTAAATATTATTAGCCAAATCAAATCCTTTTTCCCCATCTAAACATAGTGTCTAAAGCAGACCTGGAGATTCTTATCCATGCATTTGTCTCCAGTAGGTTAGACTACTGTAACAACAGCTGCAGTACATTCAAAATGCAGCAGCTCAAGTCCTGACCAGAACCAGAAAGTACGATGGTAAGGCAAGTTTATTTGTCTAGCACAATTCATACACAATGCAACTCGAAGTGCTGAGCAAAATAAGAAAGCATTAAAATAAATAATCCCAGTACATTAACAAAGATAAATATAAAATACCTCAGTTGTAGCACAGCTAAAGTGACAGCTCCTCTCTGACAATGTTTAAAACCAGGTTAAAGGAAGAAACAGTAAAACACTTACACACAATGTCGTCTTTATCAACATGGTGGAAATGTGGACTTATTGTTCACATTGTATTGCAGATATTGTGTTAAGCAAATAGGAGGTCACCGTCTCATTACGAGGCGAGATTAGTCTGAAAACAAAGTGTACAGTTATGATTGTTATCTATACATATCCATTATCTACACAAAACATGTAGGTAAACCAAATTCAATTTCCATGGATACATTAACAATACTTACATAACCTTTTTGAGAAAATGGATCCTTCAATGAAAAAAGTGTGATAATTCTAAGAGCATTGCTTTTTTTGTTTTCGGGAAGGCATTTGTCTAAGGAAAGAAAAACACTCATGGTCAAAGGACTTCATGGTTACATAAAAAGGCTAAATTAATAGTATCTACAAGTACATATTTTCACAGGGACCTAACCAAGAGATAATCTACAGGAGAACATCTACCTAGGTCATTTATAAAAGAGATCAGTACTATTTATCTTACAATGGGGAATCAATAACAGTGGTGAGAGAAACTGAATTGTTATGTGATTATTGTGAAAGGTCTTTCAAGTGATTTTCATTTTATTTTGAGTAAATATCCTTCCACTTGTAAGAAGGAACTTTTGAGTATTAACTGAGGGATACAACATACCCATGTGTTTCACTCATGTCACTGACGAGAAGGTCGACAAGTTGTCTTCGAGAGCGGAGATCTCACAGTGATCTCACAGAATTATAATCTTTAAGGGTCTCTCGGTCACCAGGGTTTTCCTGCAGTTCCACCATCTACAAACACGTGGAAAATGTAAAATGACAATCTACAATTGTACCAAAAATCTTAGGATACAAAATGCAGCAGGACCTCTTTTGCTGTGTACCTTTCTCCTTTCTCCATCTCCTCTGCTGTACATATGTGCATTTCAACACCAAACACAATCATATGTCATTTCTTTTTGTTATTGCTTTATGAACTTACAAAGGAATCGAGGTGCCGGACAATCTTGGAAAGCTTAGCGCCAGCAGACCCCCTTTTGGCCTTAAAGAGCTTGATGAACTGTGTCGTTAGGCAATCCAATGCTTCAACGAAATCATTGCCCAGTTTGGAGCTGGTGACCTGGTTAAATTCTGCCAGGACCTGCAAAAAAAACAACATAAAACACTTCAAGTTAAATGCATAGATGTAAAAAATATGTACACACCTGTCTCTCTGTATGAAGTGCTGGCCAGCGCGCTTTGACATTTTCCACAGGTGGGGCAGAATTGACAATTTCTTGTTGTCGGACTGCAACACGCTGTAAGCAAAAAAAGAATAATCAATATATATAAAACAATATCACATGATTTTTGCTCAAATGTGTTTAAAGGAGGTCTAGATTCACTCAATAACATTATTAAGCAATGGACTTAATAAAAAAAAACAAAAAAAAATGAACAGAAAGACAACAGTGACAAATGAGATGAAAAAGTACAGTAATAAAAGTGAAAGTCTTAGCGCTCAAACAAAGACAGGAACAGTGCAAAACAAATGATATACGTTAGATATTCCACAGTCTCCTGTACATCAGGCTCTGAGCCCAAACTGCTTTTCCTTCGGTTCTTTCGAAGCAGTCTGCTCTGTGCGCCTCGTCCCTGCTCCTGCAGCAGCTCCATGCTTTACAGAAAGTTATCACACACGGAGCAATCACATATATATGTGATATATATATCACATATATATGTGATTCCTAGCTTCCTAGCGGCGGCGGCCCGTGTAGTTAGGGCCGGGAATATGGCTCTGAACATGGCTACAGTTAGCTACAGTTAGCTACTAACAGCTACATTCACCGCTGTCCTCAGTAAACTCCCGGAGGCCGGACAGAGCTCTCTCAGGCCTCCGGGAGAGCGGCTCTGAACACGGCCACAGTCACTGCATTCACCGCTGAGCTGGTCGAACACACGAGTTTTATAAGATAATATAGTCGAAGTGTCGAATGTATACTCGTTCTTAACACACTTCTTTAGCTTTATACCTTTATAACAATGAACAACGTGTCTTAACACTTACCGTACATTCAAAAGAGTCCTCTCTTCACGTTCCAGACCGCACCGTCGACTTGAGGCAAAGTATTTCGTTGCGTTTTGCGCATGCGCGAAATGCGCATTCAGTTTGTGAAGTCCCCATGTTTTGGTTGTGTAAAGAGAGTGATGATAACACCAACAACCGTTTGTGTATATACTGGTCAAAGTGCTCGTGGGTCCTCCGGTATGATCCTCCGTCTGGTTGGGAGGCCACCAGCAGACTGAAGTCGTCTACCTTTGATTTGTGTCTGAAGGTCAGGAATGTAGTTGTAATCCTTTGCTTCTTTGACAGTGTGTACCCGATACCGTTTCGATTTTTTGCTGTACAGTCTCTTTAGGCTACAAGATAAGTAATTTCACGTTAGAAGACAACTATATTTATGACTTGTCAATAGGAAGTAGTGAATGATACTTACGACACTTGGCCTTTGCTGTTCACATGTGCCGGACGGCTGTTGTGGTGATTGTAGTCCAAAGCTGCGAGAAGTGTTCTTGCTTCATAAACAAAAAATGAAAAAGCAAACCGCTTTCCGGCATACATCAGAATATGGTTTTGGAATGATTCCAGCTGTGAGGTGGTCCTGCAGGGAAAGTAAGTAGGAAATAGAAGAAACACAAATCATTCAAAAAAACAAAAACTGATCTCTTACCGAAATGTGAGGAACTTCTCCACATCCTTCAGCCATCTGCGGTTCAGCACGATCTGTGACAGTGCCACATGTGCTTTAGAGCCAGTTGGTACAGGCTCTTTAGTGCCATCATCCCCCAAAGGACCATGAAGGCATCTACCCAGGTCCCACTCATGCACGCCACTAACATGGTGCAGTACACCTCGCCAAATGTCCTAATAAGCAAACATAAGAAACTGAAAAGGTATAGTGAAAATGAGAAGATAAATTCTAGTTCTACTTTACTTACCATGAACTCTTCTCGGCTGCTTGCATGCTGACAGGCATACCAAAAATGGTTAACAATGTCCTTGATCCACCCAAGGATTTGTTTTTGACCTGCTAGGACACCCGCATATCAAAGTTATTAGTTTTGGTTATGTCTATAAAAAATAATTGAATGAGAAACGATATGAACTATCACTTACAGCATGAAGCCTCTTAGTTAGATTTTTTGCAGCATGCCAGACATCCAGGAAATGGGTAACTCCATGATCCATATATCTTCCCCGTTCTGGATCTATTATAAAGCTCAAAAATGCAGTAAGCACAAAATATAGCACATCAAATAATACAGACAAAAATACTTACGCATGAGGGCTGCAATTTGCACATGGGCGTCAGTCACAATCTCTTTGACTTTTAATTCTTTCGTGAGATCATCAAATGTTTTGATGAACGCTGCCTTCTCCATAGAGACACTTTTTCCACCAACTTGCCTTTTATCAACATTGACAACACTGATAATGTCCATTGTGTCAAGTTCCATCGTTGTGTATGTGCAAAACGTTGCAGAATGACCTTGTTGAATCAAATATGGTGAAACACAAAGTAATACACAATAACTATGTTGTGAAGTGAAAGGCTTCAGACTTACCTGGTGAGTCCATTCTCCCGTCAGCTGTAACAGATATAGTACTTATAGTGACTGCAAATACGACAAAGATTGTCCTTTAACACATTACTTACCAAGGGCCACAATGCCATCTTTTGACTTTAATCGAGTTACAATAGACAACCTCTTCTGCTCCCAAAATGCCTTTATTTCAGGTACGCAGTAGGAGTGTTGAATTTTGTAATAAGTTGTCGTTGAAACCATCTTCATATTCATAAATTTGAAGAGGAGGGCAATCTTAGCAAAATTATTACCACTCAGTAATAAGTTGGCAGATAACATAAAATCGCCTCCTTGCATCCCATGTCGAAGTACAGGTTGACTGTTCCACATCCATAACTTGTGTCCATAAGAGCAGAACTATGGAGAAAGAAACAAATAACTTTTACTAAATGTATAACTACACATTTTGCCTACCCTAAATACCAATCTCTAATTTCAGCATTCACTCACCCATTCCAATATGATTGATGTGCCCCTAGAACGTGATTGAACCGAAAATGGAGGCCGACCGTCACACTCAATACCAGAAACCGGATCGCTGTAATGGCATTTGTTGATGGGCAGTTGCAGAAAATTAGCCATTTGCAGCAAGCTAATAGTATACGCTATGCATGCTTGTTGGTGCACTAGGTCAGTTTCAGCAACCACACGAATTGGCTTTGGGAATGTTGATATGTCCTGCTCAGACTGATCCTCAAAGTCCTCTGGTTCTCCGGGATTTTCTGGGTCACAGATGTCCAACACAGCTTCTTCTATGCCGAGGATGGGAAGATTGTCAACTTCTCTTTGAATTGCAACACCAGCACTGAAAACAAGAACAATTTGATGCTTTTTCAAAAAACAATTAGGGAAGGACTTCCATTATTTTCAGGACAGAACATTTAATAAAAAAAACCTCAAAGATATAGGTGGGACATATTCCGAATCTAATGGATCTGAGGCCAAATCTTCATCAAACTCAATCCTGTGAAAGTAAACAGGTCATATTTTAAAACAATCAACAAAATATTTATTTTTAAACATGTTAAGTAACTTACACACTGTCTTCTAGATTGTTTGCCCGTTTTTCGTTTAACCAAAGATCTGAATGTCTACAAAAAACAATAAATCATATAAATAAACGACCTAGAAATGAGAATACAATGTACATCTTAATGTGAATGCATGTCTACCTTTTCTCCAAAACCTCCAGCTCTTTCTCCTCTAAAAGGGTTTTTTTCATGTAAACCAGTATAATGCAACTTAATAGGGTTTTTACATGTAAACCAGTATAATGGAACTTAATAGGGGTTTTTACATGTAAACCAGTATAATGGAACTTAATAGGGGTTTTTTACATGTAAACCCCTATAATGCAACTTAATAAGGGATTTTTACATGTAAACCACTATAATGTAACCTAATAGGGGTTTTTACATGTAAACCAGTATAAAGCAACTTAATAGGGATTTTTACATGTAAACCAGTTGTAATAGGGATTTTTCCATGTAAACCAGTATAATGCAACTTAATAGGGATTTTTCCATGATAAACCAGTATTATGCAACTTAATAGGGATTTTTCCATGTAAACCAGTATAATGCAACTTAATAGGGAGTTTTCCATGTAAACCAGTATAATGCAACTTAATAGGGATTTTTTCATGTAAACCAGTATAATGCAACTTAATAGGGATTTTTCCATGTAAACCAGTATAATGCAACTTAATAGGGGTTTTTACATGTAAACCAGTATAATGCAACTTAATAGGGTTTTTTTCATGTAAACCAGTATAATGCAACTTAATAGGGATTTTTCCATGTAAACCAGTACAATGCAACTTAATAGGGATTTTTCCATGTAAACCAGTATAATGCAACTTAATAGGGTTTTTTTCATGTAAACCAGTATAATGCAACTTAATGGAGATTTTTCCATGTAAACCAGTATTATGCAACTTAATAGGGATTTTTCCATGTAAACCAGTATAATGCAACTTAATAGGGTTTTTTTCATGTAAACCAGTATAATGCAACTTAATAGGGTTTTTTTTTCATGTAAACCAGTATAATGCAACTTAATGGGGATTTTTCCATGTAAACCAGTATAATGCAACTTAATAGGGTTTTTTTTTTACATGTAAACCAGTATAATGCAACTTAATAGGGATTTTTCCATGTAAACCAGTACAATGCAACTTAATAGGGATTTTTCCATGTAAACCGTATAATGCAACTTAATAGGGATTTTTCCATGTAAACCAGTATAATGCAACTTAATAGGGTTTTTTTCATGTTAACCAGTATAATGCAACTTAATAGGGTTTTTTTCATGTAAACCAGTATAATGCAACTTAATAGGGTTTTTTCATGTATAATGCAACCTAATAGGTTGCATTATACCACCAGACCAAGACCCAAACGAAGACTCAGACCACCACCAGATAATGACCACAGACCAGGTTTCCTTAGTTACAGGAACCAAATTGTTTCAGCGGTGAGGGGATTTTTCAGTTTCAAGGACACTTTCAATACATTCAGTAGTTTCAAGGATTTCAGCTGTTTAAGAATTTAACCAGTTTCAAGGATATCAGGAGGTTCAAGGATTTCAGGAGTTTCCACACTTTCAACAGTTTCCAGGTTTAAAAAAGTTTCAAGGATTTCAGGAGTTTCAATGTTTCAACAGTTTCAAGGATTTCAGGAGTTTAAAGGTTTCAACAATTTCAAGGACTTCAGGAGTTTCAAATATCTATCAAGTATTTTAACAGTTTCAAGGCTTTTTAAAGGATTTCAAGGATTTTTTTTTAGCAGATTTCCACATTAGATCTGTTCCGCAGTCAATCGCAATGGCTTCAGCCATTGCAAGTTTCTAGTTTTTAATTACTATTCAAACAAGGGTTCTAAAATCAAAATATTGGAAAGTCAGAGGTAACAACATTTCAGAACACAACAGTGTGACAGCAAGATATACCTCTATCAATCTTGTGACATGTGGTTGTATACTACACAAATTATTGGGATTAGTAGTGTTGGAAATGTGTATTTATAATTAAACTGTCCTCTGTTCATATGTAATGTGATGGTGTTTCTGTAGCTACATAAAAAATATAAAATTAATCGAATGTAACATGTGTAATCTTGTTATTCGGTATGGATACATTACAATACAATCGTTAATAATCCCATATCAACATAGTAAACTGTAGAGTTGCCACAGGACCCGTCATCAGCCTGCGTCCGCAGCCGAGGACTGCTATCATAACATTAGCTTTGTGGTTTCACAGGCAGAGTTGACTGCTTAAACTAAACTTTACCCGAAAGTTTGACTCTTAAAACCCACATGTGCCAACACGGAACCATCAACATCTCGCCTCAAATTGCATTAAAAGTGACATTCGTGTCTTATTTCGTTCGTATTATAACTTTTAAAGCAATTCTCGGACTTTCTGTCCGCCATCTTGGTTTGTTTCGGCTGCCGTGAGACGCGCATGCGCGCAGGTTTGCATTACATCATTAACAGCTGAGCATTACATAAGCGTCACTTTTCGGCAGAGCGGCACAACTCGGCAGAACACCGGCATAAGGTCTTTAATGTTGATAATGAGGCCATGTAGAACAAGGACTAATAAATGCTGAACAAGAAAATTAGAAAAGAGAAATGGAATTATACATATATACCCACACACACACACACAGAGACAGACAGACAGACGCACACATGCAAGCCGCACACATACATATATACAAACACACACACACAAACATACAAACACACACACACACATACATACAAACACACACACACATACATATATACAAACACACACACATACGTACACGGTGTAGTAGCGCAGTGGTTATCGCTTCACAACAACATTTGATTGCACCAACCGGCCTTTCATGTGTGGAGTTTGCATGTTCTCCCCGTGTCTGCATTGGTTTCCTCCAGGTGCTCCAGTTTCCCCTCCTGCAGGTCTGGCGTGCACCTCCTCCCTCTCCCATCACTCTGTGTAATGAGAGAAAATACCAGTAATGATAATAAAGTGCTTTGTGACTGCGTCTTTGAAGTGCTTTATAAATATAGTGATTATGTGTGTGATTTCAGACAATATTATTAAATAGGTTCTGAGATATAGAGAATATATCCAGTGTATGCTCAGTTGGTGCAGCTGATCAATTGTGGCTCTTTTAAAGCTAGGGTACTTAATTTTTCTCTCCATAAATAATCCTAAATAATACGGAACAGAAAGAGTTGCAAGATGCGGCAGGTTATGGTCTGTTTTGTCCACAGAATTTGAACAAAACAGACCACAAAAGGCATAATTTTATGAATAAATGTTATTTTTTGTATACTTGAGGATAGTGGTCTCTTCTAAACTTTTCTGTCTGAAAAAGCTGAACTGAAGATGTGACAGTGGCAAAGAATACAGGTATGATATTTTGAGAGTGGGGGACTCGATGAATTTATGTATTAACGTTAAATGTAAGATGTTAAAGTTAAAGTTTTGATGGAATTCTATTTGAAAAAGACACAAATTAACGCTGTTTGTTGCACTAATATTATATGTTGCTGTGAGCAGACTTGCATCTCCATAAATCTGAATCCTACTAGTCCTTAAAGAGGCTGAAATCTCCAACAGTATCGATACTTCACGTGTTGATGTTCAATGGTTCTTTAATCCATGGAATCTTAAATCAGCCCGAGATGAGTGTTGCATGTGTGAAGCTGGACACTAGGGGGCAGCACATGCCTGTTGTGTGCAGCAGGTTGCAACGTAATAATAACATGTGCATTATATTCTGCTGTAAAAAAGTGAACATAAGATAAGATAAGATAAACTTTATTCACAATTATATTCACAATGGATAAATTAATAAGTCATATTTAGCATCAAAAAGATCCCTAAGGATGTGCAAAATACAGTGAAGGTCCAAAGTCTAACTGACCATGAGACCTGTGTTTTCATTCATGTTGAAATAAACACATTTTTGATCAAAGAATCCGCTTTTAGGGCGATACTCAACTCTTACAACCATAGCACTAACCAAGTGCCTCAACAACTTCCAGTGACTGTTGTGGTAAAGCAGGTGAAAGTCCAATCGGGTCAGGGCCTGGTTAGTCCTGTGATGGGAGACCTCCGAGGACACCAGGTGCCACAGTGGGATGGCTGTAATATACATATATACTGTATATATATTTGCTCACATTATCTAATAATAATAATACATTATACATATGTTGCACGTAACATTTACAGGAAACCTCATAGTGCTACAGAAAGAAAAGAAAACAAAAACAAACAAGTCTTCCAAGTTTGTCTTTTTTTCATTTTTTCCCCGGCACTCTGGAGCAGGGCATTGGCTCATTTCATGCTTATTTGAAACCTACTTGTCTTGCACACGTTTCCCCGATTGACCAAAACTACCAACCTAAAAGGCACGACTGAAAATAAAAATCCAAATCCCAGAACTGAAAAACAAGACGGAACAAATGTGGTAGAGATAATGGACGGACAAGTGGAGAAAAACACAGGGAATAAAAACACACAGAGGGCGGGGAAAACAAACTCAAACTTCAAGACATCTGTCAAATACCAAAAATAAAACCAACAAAAATAATGCAATAGTCCACACCATGACAGTATTAACCAAAAGATGGTATCGCCCAACTGGTTGTTTTAAATTGTGTTCACAGCTGTGAGCAGCGAGCCCAGGACTAATTTCCCTTTTGGGACTAGAACATGTCTTATATAACCAAATAACTGAGATCTGTTTTTACAGTGCACTTTAGGGTAACATCACCCAGGGGCGTCTGTCGGCTGCTCCGTGGGCTGCATCAGATCTGGTCCAGGTCTGGTCCTGGTCTGGTCCTGGTCTATCCCTGGGGCCACAGGCTGCTGTAGATGTTATCTCTGCTCTGGTTCCGGCCAAAAGAAGTGATCTGTAATGTAAACATGTTTCTGTTGCATAAGTGTTGAAGTGTATGTTCTCCATTGAGCACAGAAAAAAAAGAAAAAATATAGAAAGCATTTTTTTTGGAAATAAGGATTTACTTTATCTTTTGATGTTGTAAAATGGGAAATAATATCATAGGTTGAAAATGTATCAAGGTCAATCCCCAATTTATTTATTTATTTATAGTTTGAAAATTACCAGCTGCCAACAGGCAATACGATTGTGCATAATTTATGGGTCATATACTTTTGTTTTACGATGCAGAAAACTACTCATGTGATGTCCCGCTCCTTTTCAAGTTTAAATAATGCACAATATTATAATAGGTAATTGTTAATTCATTATATGTTAGACAATTTTATGCAGTGACATCTAATCATAATGTTTCAAGTATTCTTTTTAGATGTATTTGTGCGTATTTTATGATTTTTTACTTTCTTTTCTTTTGTTTTAATCGTTTGTGCTTGTGAAGCATTTTGGGCAGCTGGTGTTGTTGTAAATATACTATACACATAAACATTCACATTTACCTTTATGTGCAAATAAAATAGACCCATCTTTAAAATTCACATTAATAGTGTTTTTTGTATTTGGCAAATCTGAGTAAAAATAAGCAGTTATTAGGGCTGTTCCCTCCTGAGGCCGTGAGTGAGCATCACACGCTGCTAACATGACTTTACCGCTGAGGAAAGATTAAAATAAAGTTATTAAAGACATATTCAAAACACACAGGTTAACTTTAGTTTCCAGTCAGAGGCAGCCTGGTCGTACCACACCATAGTACAAATGACATTTTGTGCTAAGGTCTGGATTTGCTCCATTGAGCTCCGTTTACAGATAAGGAGGGGTTAACTCCTTTTGCAGATTGAAACGATTGGATCTGAGTTTACCGTGACGTACTGTATGTAGTGCGCCTGAGTGAGTCGTTAACATTTAGCCTAGCTTTAGCCATCTCCTTTGCTGCTAACGGAGCCCGTGGGGAGTAGCGCCACAATTCTTTCCAGCGATTACATTTGCTAAACATTCCTCTTGCTCCTGCGTCAATTTCTTGATAGAACCAGACCGGATTACTTTACTATTGCATTCTTCGCCATTGCCAAACTACAACCTGCCTGTTCGGCGCAAACTCTTGACGTCACCGGCACCGACCTATAACGCGCTCGCTGATTGATCGGTCGAAATTCAGCCGATTGTAATCGCTAAGACGGGGACCAGGCCCAGACGTTACATGCAGTGAAATGATGATTGAGCGGAGTGTACGAACGGCTAAGGCCAGGCTATGTCATAGGGAAAAGTTATGGAAATATTTAAAAAAAAAACTAAACCAGGGGTATTTTGTTCATTAAAGTAGCAATATGTAAGATTTTCATGTCAAGTCATCATTAAAGGGCCCTAATCTGTCAAAAGTCATTAATAAACTATGTTCTTTTCAAATACATCTTTAACTGATACCAGCAGTTCAGAGATATTTGGATGTCAAAATTATCCTAAATCTTGTTATTGTTTTCATTTCGATGTCCCGCCCTCCACTGTTTTACCAATCAAAATCTCTGCGATCCAGGAACCAGAACTCACCACATCGAGCTCATCTCACTGGTAAAGTACCATGTACAGAACTAAAAAAAGTCTTGTTATGATTCTCTAATCATTAACAACAAAACAATACATAAAACCAGGACTTCTTTCTTTATGAAAAAGGTGTTGGTTTTAGATTAGTTGTTGACAAAACTCTTGTCTATTCAGATGTTATGGTCCCAGTTGGATTCGTCTGCATATCTGGCAACCTGAGTCAGGGAGAGTGGGAGGGGTTGCAGTACCACTTTTGACCAGATTTATACATACTGTTCCTTTGATAACATATTTTTGGTCCGAACAGAAAAGGTTTGCACAAATCAGACAACACCCAGTCTTCATCTTATTAGAAAACATGTTATATTTTGCAAACTTGTCAGAAAGAGCCCTGTGAGTCGCTTGGCTCAGTGTGTGAATCTGAAAATGTGTGAACATGTAGATGTACACTGCAAACAGGGGTGAAGGATAATTCACAATGATTTTTATCTTAATTTGAGCACATTCTGACTGAGCCTTAACACAAGATTTACCAACAGGATAAATTAAAATGATCTTGTTTTAAAATGATATAAGAAATGTCTCCCGTGGATGAGAAAAAAGCATCAGTTCTTGAAATAAGAAAAAATGGCCCATTGGCAAATCTTGTTTTAACACTGTCAGAATTTGCTCATACAAACTCAATTACTACACTGCAAAAAATATACATTATTAAGTCATAATTGCCTTATATTGTTAAGATTAAAGCATATGTTTTTTAGTACATTCTGACTGTCTTAAAACAACATGTTCCATTTACTCTTATTTCAAGAACTGCTTTATTTTCTCATTCCAAGTGAAATAAAAAAAATCAGTATCATATCATATCATATCAAACTTTATTACAGACTCAGGGTCCAGGATAAGACACATAACACATAACACACATCACATAAAAACACAAAACAACACATGTAATCACAACAATAAGCCTCACTTCTCAGAGCAAACAGCTGTACCAGTGTCTCCACAGATCTGACTGGTACCGCATGGCACTGAATTTGACATTTGTCAGGCTTATGACAATACAATTCTGGCTTTCATTGAGCCGACAAATAAAACTGTACATCAAACATCGCATGGCGGCCTGGAATGTCCTTATTCCAGCTGACACAAACAAAGTACTTGCACTTTCCCATCGTGGCTTTTTCAATAAAATCCTCAGACAGTCATTGTATGCCACATTGAGTTTGCGGATGGTTGCTTTTTTGTATTTGGTCCATAAATGTGCCGTGTATAATGACGTACAGTATGCTTTAAAAAGTGTCTTTTTCACCTGCGCTGTACAGGCACCAAACTTGCGCACCAGCATGTTCGCCTGAACGTACAACATACGACATTGCCTGAGAATGTCCTCATCATCAGACAGATCATCACAAATAAAATGGCCCAAGTATTTATATTTGGAACATACACTTAGTTCAACACCACACAATTTAAATTGGGGAAAGTTTACATTTACATCATCTTTAGTTCTACATAACATTATCATACTTTTGCTTGCATTATACCTTACATCATACTCTACACCATACTTAGAGCAGACATTGAGAAGGTCCTGTAGACCTGCACTACTAGGGCTGAATACAGCAAGGTCATCCGCATACAACAGATGATTCACCTGGATTGGCCCAATCATACAGCCCGTTTTACATGCACTTAACTCTAAGGACAGATCATTCATATACAGGGAGAATAAAACAGGAGAGAGAATTCCTCCCTGCCGGACACCATTACTAACAGAGAATGGATCCGACATGGATCTACCCCATCTCACCTGCATTACCTGATGGGCATACCAGTATACTAAAACTCTCACAATATAACGAGGCACCCCTCTCTCGTTCAGCTTTGAGAATAATTTCCAGTGATTTACCCGATCAAATGCTTTAGATGCATCGATAAAACACAGAAGAACAGATGATGTTTGACTTTTATATTTTCTTATTATTTCCTTGAGAGCAAATATGCATAAATCTGTACCATGTTTAGATTTAAAGCCAAACTGGTTGTCTGTGGAGCAGATATAATCTTGTAATCGAGATAACAGTATTTTCTCCAAGACTTTAGACAATATGCTTGCCAGTGCGATTGGTCTATAATTGTCCAAACTACCCATTCTACCAGCTTTATCCTTTAAGACTGGGACAAGCGTGACAGAGAGAAGTGAGTCTGGGAGAATTCCATGTGTCAAACAGCTAGAGAAGCAAATGGCCAGCAGAGGACAAAGTCTTTTGCTGGCATGTATCAGGTGCTCAGCATAAATGTTATCAGCACCACAGGACTTATTAGCCGTAACTTTTGAATTGCTTGATACACCTCATGGGCACTTATGGGTACATATTCACTTTGGTCAATTGTGCCAGCATTAAACATATCACTGTGGACACAATTGAACAGATTATAATAATGTCGTTTACAGCATCCAACTATGTTTTCTGAGCCAGAGATACCATCTACAGTGCAAGGTAGAGATGTTTTACTACTGTTGAGATTTCGCACCTCTTTCCAAAAATCCATAATATTGCTGGATGTAAGTTTACTGGCCAATGAATCTGACCTCATACTTTGTTCATTTCTTGAGATAAATCGAATAGCATATTTGTATCTGGCATTGGTAATCTCTTTTTATTCTCAAAAATAGTGCCATGTCTCGGTCTCCCTGCTACAGTCCATTCTCTTGTAGCTTCCCGTGCTTCCTCGTAATACCCAGCTACATACATATTCCAGCCTGGTCGCTTTTTGTGATTATGTTGAACTTTTTTATAAAAACATTCACTACTTTTAGACAAAACACTGATAATATTATCATAAAAACTACAGATATCCATTTTATGGTCCACTTCAACACAATTAGTGTCAGTACATCTAATAGCATTGTGTGGAACATGTATACTGCTTAAAAGTTTGTCAGATCTAGTAAAATAGGACAGAAGGTCTTCCTGTGTACAAGCTGTCCAGTCCAGCCTCCCCTGCTTAACTGGGCCATTGTGTGTTGTCAGTCCTGGTAACTGGTCAACGTGTATATTAAAAGAGATAGGAATATGATCTCCAGTAACAACACTGTAAAGTATTTGCATAGATGCCAGGGAGACATGTGCATCAGCTGTACTTATACAGTGGTCCAACCATGAGGTTGTATGCCAAGCCTCACTAATATATGTGTAGCTCTTTATAGGAAGTAAACATCTGCTAGATAGAATATAGTCATGATCCTCACAGAATTGTAGCAAATGTTTACCAAATAAGGAAGTCATGTCTGCAATGTCTGCATTCATGTCTCCTACAATGTAAACACTAGATACAGGGCTGTCTTCAACAAACGCATGCAAAAAGGCCAGCTTATCTAAATATACATCTTCATTTTGTTTGCACTCATACGGAGTGTAGACATTAACTATTATAAATTCTTTATCATCACAAGTAAAATGTAGACCAATACACCAGTCAACTCCAAGTCTGACAACTTTAACGCATGTATCAAGAGACTTTCTCCAGAGTATTGCCACACCCCCTGCTATTCTACCCATGACAATACTCCTGTTAAAATCAGTAGTGGACTCACCAGCCCCATGAAAATACTCATTAAACGAGTTCAGCTTTTGCAAGTCTTGTTGAGATAAAAAAGTCTCTTGCAAACACAGTATGTCGCAATTTTGCAAAAGTCCATCGACAACCAAGCGACGAGCTTTATCCGCAGCACTGTTTCCAAGCCGTAGGCCCCGACAGTTATAAGTCAGAAGACGTAAATCCATAGCTGCATTTTAGGGTACCACAGCGGTGCCATTGCGCGCACTGCCCACAGGGTCACCTGCGCCTAGCTCACCCCTGTTGTACCCCACACGACGCGGCTCATAGTACCGCCGAACGAGTGCACCCTCTGGCCACAGATCAGGGTCATACATCTCATTTACGTCATTACACTCCGCAGATATTTTAAATGAACTGAATCGATTGTGCGCCGTGGTGATCTTTTGGCATGATACATCCCGGTTGAGTTTGTTCTTTAAGTATTCCGCTAATGTTACATCCTCCAGATCAGGTGAAAATCGAGAAGCAAACACACTCACCAGTTTGGTCTGTATGGTTCGGATGCTGCCCACAGTCCCAGTGCCAACGATAGGCTTAGTGGCCCGTGGCTTCCTCCCCTGTCCCGTGCGTACTGCATTAGCTTCATCGGTTGTTGCGCGCCGGCTCCTCTTCACAACCTCACTCCACTTTGGCGACTGCTGCCCCCGTAAACTCCTCTCCGCAGCGGTCCCTGCATACACCTCCGGAGCCGGTACTGTCGGAGTCGCTGTCTCCGCTGCACTTTTCTCCCCATGGGTCAGGACCTCTTTCACAGCAGACACAAGAGGCATAGCTTGCGTCGTGACAGCTGCTACATCCACGTTAGCGGGCCAGGCCCGCTCATTGCGCTCCCTCTCCAGGGAGCACACCCGGTTGCAGATCCCGCTCGCAGCAAAGCGCAGATCACTAGTAATGCTGACTTGTGAGTTCATTATTTGCTTTAAAGCGCCAACTTCTGCGGCCATCTGCTCCATTTTTGTTAATAGACATGAGACGTCCAGACTATTAAACGTGACAGGTGGGAGCTCATCCAGATAATAGGAAACAAATCTGGGAATATTCTCCCCACACTCATTTAATACTTTAAGGCAGCTTTTGATGTTGTTGGCATCTTTCTGCGCTCCCTTGTGTGTGACATTCCTTTGCGAAGAAGGGCAGAGCTCAAAGAGGGCCTTCTTGGAGGCCTCAATCCACTCGGAGTCAAATGTGTTAGCAGCCAGAATAATAATCTCATCCTGGCTCATAATCTTCATTTTTACACAAAGGAAATTGAGCAGTTCATCTTCAACAATTGTTTTCCCATCAGTTGTTTTGTATATCTCTGGTTTCAAGCGAGAGCGTTTGAAAACTGGAGCAGAGTTGTGACCAGCAGCTGTGTCAGCCATCTTTTTGCTCCCACTTTTGCTCAGTAGTCTTTATTATTATTAAATTGGGCTTTACTTAATTACCAAATACATTTTTAATGACTTTACTCCTCTTCTACAACTACCTCCCTCACATCCAAACCTTCATATTTGCATGTGTGTAAAAACCGCAGCAGAGTCATGAGTTTCAACACAAATCCACAATAAATCAGCTTTATTTCCCCAAAACCACTTGAGTGGGTTCACTGCGGTGCATTCGGGTGTTGCAGGACATGTGACGGGGCGTTCGTGTGCACTGGGAACTCCAAATCCAGGGCCAGAAGTCCAGCTCTCCAGCACATTACACTCACTCTGAACTGCCGTGGATTAACTGAGCTGTGGCTGGTGTTTGGTCTGGATCCTGGTGCCTTCAACAAGCACCTCTCCTGGCCTTACGAGTTTAGTTTTTTAAAGGTAAAAAAGGTAAATATGGTGGAAAACCAAGTAATTTATGGGAGGAATTTCTCAGAATCCCATTGGTTTGAATGGATCTGTAAACATTTTTAAATAATAGTTCTATCCATCCATCCATTTTATTCCCCTTAAGCTATTTAAAGGAGGGGGGCATCAGGATACAGTACGTCCAATGGTTTGCCCCATACGGATGTTTAATGTGCACCTCCAAGTGAGTCTTTGAAAGGCTTATAATGTCCTCTTTACCAAGTTAAGAAGCTTTTTCAAGCCAGGTATATTTTCGTGCGATACAAGTAAACCGATACCCCATTGTGAGCAAATTCTTTCAAATGTTCGGTCAAAAACCAAAACATGTTGATGAGGAATACAACTTGTTGACAGTTTCCTCCAAAGCTCACGTGTCTTTCCCACCGTTCCATCAGCGCAGGACTGAATCAATGGTGAAACAGAGCGAGATAATGAGGGCGAGACAACAGCTCACGGTTGTCTGAAGGAAGCGATCGAAATACAATCTACAACGGATCGTTCCTATTGATCATCGCCTGCAGCAGAAGCAGAGAGAGACTGGTGACAGCAGCAGCAGCAGCAGCAGCAGCAGCAGCAGCAGCAGCAGACGCAGAGAGAGACTGGTGACAGCAGCAGCAGCAGCAGCAGCAGCAGCAGCAGCAGAAGCAGAGAGAGACCGGTGACAGCAGCAGCAGCAGCAGCAGAAGCAGCAGCAGCAGCAGCAGAAGCAGAGAGAGACTGGTGACAGCAGCAGCAGCAGCAGCAGAAGCAGCAGAAGCAGAGAGAGACTGGTGACAGCAGCAGCAGCAGCAGCAGCAGCAGAAGCAGAGAGAGACTGGTGACAGCAGCAGCAGTAACAGCAGCAGCAGCAGAAGCAGAGAGAGACTGGTGACAGCAGCAGCAGCAGCAGCAGAAGTCAAAGCAATTAGCGGTGATATAGAAAATTACAAAATTAAAAATTGTAAACATAATTACTCAGCTCACCTTTAAGTAACAGTAAGTCTTGTGACATTCTCTGTATCTACATGAAGTTAATTTTATTTCTATCATTAATGTTTAATTCAATTATATTTTAATTCCCACAGCAGCCATTTTTAATCATCATTTGAATATAAAATGTAAATGGTTAATGATTTAATTAACCATCTCTCCATGATCTGACACCAGGGACAAGACATGGGGGAAAAATATTTACTATTACTAGGTACAAAACAAACCAACAGAACCAACCATGACATCTTCCCACGCGAGTCCATTTGCAGATCATCTTCCCAGAGTTCTAAGATTCTAGTTGGAGTCTCACCTGAAAGAATAATAACACATTAAACATAAATGCTCTTTGTTGGACGCTCAAAGGCGCTTCACAAAAAACATAAAAATAACCATTGAAGAACAGAAATGAAGGACACGCAAGGTGGAAAAGGTGAAATAGGTGGGTTTCTGATGGGAAAAAAACCTTGCCCAAAGTGCTCCCTGTCTGCTGTATGAATGTATCCAAACCCCTCCACTGGGATTAGAACCTCAGACCCCTGCGCTGGGCCACAACACCTCCAAACACACAGTTACATTTCCAGAACGTCGCACCTCGTTCGGCCTGGGATCGTCCATTCTCTGTGGTGTTGTTTTGGGTTGAAAAGTGCATGTGTTGTGGGTGATATTGTGTGTGGTTGTGGTGGAAACACAATGGGGCCTCGGTGTGGTTCTGTCAAAGCGTCCAGACCACACGGAGCAGAGAAGACTTTTGTCCGAGTCGTTCCCAGGACAGAGAATAAACAACATGATGTACAGTACAGACCAAAAGTTTGGACACACCTTCTCATTTGAAGAGTTTGTTATTTTCATGATGATGAAAATTGTAGATTCACACTGAAGGCATCAAAACTATGAATTAACTCATGTGGAATTATGTAAGTACTAATAAAACAAAGCATGACACAATTCAAAATATGTCAATTATTCTCGGTTCTTCAAAGTAGCACCTTTTGCTCTGATTACTGCTTCACACACTCTTGGCATTCTCTTGATGAGCTTCAAGAGGAACTGAAATGGTCGCCAACAGTCTTGAAGGAGTTCCCATGATGCTTAGCACTTGTTGGCCCTTTCACCTTCACTCTGTGGTCCAGCTCACCCCAAAACCATCTGGATTGGGTTCAGGTCCGCTGACTGTGGAGGTCATCTAGCCCAGCACCACCACTCTCCTATTGGTCAAACAGCCCTTACACAGCCTGGGTGTGAATCTAAAGTCAATAGTCATGAACAGAAAGGAAACTCATTGAATGATGAAGTGTGTCCAAACATTTGGTCTGTACTGTACATCTACTGTATATGAAAACATCACACAGATACTACTGGAAACAAGTGCGTACGATGGGAATGACAGAAATCTGTCCCCAATGCTACAATCTGCTGTCACATTGAAATAAATAAAAAAAAGTATCACTGAGATTAAGATTAAGATAATAAAGTTGGCAAGGAAAGGTGATGGTGATGGTCAGAAGCAGGAGAGAAAAGACAGACATTATAGTCCTTCATTTTATATTCAATGTTTTAGTCACAGGAACCAACCCGGACTGGTCTCCTGCTGTGACTCTGAGGAGCACAGGGACCGGCCTCCTGCTGTGACTCTGAGAAGCACAGGGACCGGCCTCTTGCTGAGACTCTGAGGAGCACAGGGACTGGTCTCCTGCTGTGACTCTGAGGAGCACAGGGACCGGCCTCTTGCTGAGACTCTGAGGAGCACAGGGACTGGTCTCCTGCTGTGACTCTGAGGAGCACAGGGACCGGCCTCTTGCTGTGACTCTGAGGAGCACAGGGACCGGTCTCCTGCTGGTCCCAGAGTCAGGACTAAATACAGGGAGACAGCGTTTCAGATTCACACAGCTCAAATGTCTTCCTGAAAATATGAGACAGGCTTCTACTATGACAATGTTCAAATCCAGAATAAATATTTTTTTTTAGCTGTGTATTCAACTTAAATATTGTACTTGTCCTTATCTAAAAAATGAAATCTATGTCATATATGTGGAGATTTTACCAGTTTGATTTGAACATTGTTTCTCTTGTTTTCAAATAACTGTTGAGTCTTTATGTGAACGATTTGTGCCATACAAAAAACTTTGCCTTGCCTTCATTACAAGTCTTTTCTAACATAGATGTGTCTCAGGTTGAGTTCTGATTTTGATCAATGCAACAATAGCAACACATTTGTTTTTCCAAACGCGATGGCTTATTAAATTCCTCTGCACAAAACCCCAAACACACTTCTGTCCTGTCTGTGAACTTCCAATGTCCGTATGAACCAAAATAGACCAATTTCCCAATCGCTGTATTTTTATGGTCACCTCGTGTTTCTGGAAATTCTTCTCTAAATGTTTTGTTGCTGTGTTTTTTTTCCGGGGATTATTCGAGGTCAAATGTGTGAAGTGTTAAAGGCAGAATCAGTGGGACAGAGAACAGGGACATTGCTATTGACAAAACACGATTCCTGTAAAAGAAACCAATCGTTTGGTTTTGGGGCATTGCGGAAAGTAGGTCTGTTGTTACTGAGAGTGAGGGTGAAAGAAAGGATTCTGGGGGAGTTACGATCCACGCTGAAGAAGTCCGGAAAAATACTATCATTAAAGAAGAAATATCAGTTGCTATTTTTGGCCAAAAACATATAATGAGAATAAATTACTTTGTCATTTCATGTTTTAGAATCTGACAAAATCTCAAGTAAGTAAATATATAATGGATCATGTATGAAGGGTCAAAATGTGGTCTGCCTGTACCTCTTTTTGAAGTTTTTGTGTTGAAAATTTGAAAAATACCACCTGCAAACACAGCCATGCGTTTGTAAAGGACATCATTTCACGTTAGAAATTTCTAAAACTATATGAGCACTACTTGTTATTCCTGGTTATTGCAGTGCATCTACGTAAATCTAAGATTGTGTTTATTTTTCACGTGGCAGTTCGACTTGTTTACTTCCTGAAATCTTTCGACCTAGTTGTAATTCTGCTGATTAGGATGAATTAGGAGGAAATCCAGCACTTTACAACAACACATGCTTCACGCTTCAAAACAACAGCTTTGGTGGATGTTGTTCCAATCGGTTCAGTTTGGAACAA